TTAGATATATATCAAAATGACTATAATTACCATATATTTCATATTAAAATTATAATTTTATAAAAGCATGTTTAATAGGCCCTTAGTATAGGCCTAAGATAGGAGAAATTGAATTCTAGAAACCATTGAAATTTTTGGTATTGCCTAGGCATACCGCCCACCTAGACAGGCTAGTAACTGCCTATCTAGGCCTAGTAGCGGATTTTGCGGTTAAACTCGCACCGAATCGGAACGGGTCAGGGTTGGTTCCGATTTCTAAAATTTGGACTCGAAATCGCAGCGGTTCGGTTCCAACTAGGGTTGGACTCGCCCGAACTCGGACCGAATGCAACTCTAATCCTTACACCAGCCCAACCCACGAAAATAACAACCCTATATATAGCTATCTTAATAACACTAATAAGAGGAGAAAAGAAGGAGAAGTTCTCTAGTAATCTATAAGTCTACTTATACTACAGAAAATATAATATATTATTATAAGTCTGTAATAATTACTATTAATTATTCACCTATAATAAAGCTAAATAAATACTGTAATCTATAATAGTAATAGAATATATTATCTAAATAATAAGAGGCCCGCTCCCATATTATAATTAACTATAGGAGATAATAATAATCTAAAATAAATAAAGCCTTTTATATTACTAAATTAGGAAGTATTATAGCTTTAAGGGCAAAGCCTATAGAGAAGGGGGGTAATTAGACTGGTTAAACCCAACCCGGGAACCCTAACCCAACCCGGCCTGAACCCGCCATGGGCCGGGTTTGGGTTCAGGTTCTAGGACCCGTGGGTCGGTTGGGTTCTAATTCTTAGAACCTGTTAAGGGTTGGGTTCTAAAAACAGGTTTTAATTATAATACCTAGTAATCAGAATTCACTAACTCAGGTCAGAATTCTATATTAAATGCTATAAATGCCCAATATATATATATATATATATATATTGACTGCTAGTATGGTATCGAAAAATTTAATACATACTAACTAGATTAGGTAGGCGGAGAGTGGATTTTTCGGCAGAATAGAACCCAACGGGTTGACTATCTAGAAGCCGCCGGGTTATGGGCTGGGTTTGGGCCCTAGAAATCTAGAACCCGAACCCGGCGGGTTGGGTTTAAAAAATGGGAGAACCCGGCCCAACCCGCGAAAATAACAACCCTAGGGGTAATTATTAAGGGCTATAGCAAACCATAATGCCACTGTATACACTATGTCACATGATAAACACTATATTTATCTCCGCGGGTTACTAAGTATTCTATAACTCAGTGATTAGTTCTCCTTGCTTAGGCAATATACAGTTATTTGCTCCCTTCACGCTGATCTAACCAGTTGGTATCGGGCCTTAGGAACCGACCTTACACCAGCATGGACAAGCCTTCGTCGATCAACGAGACTGCAATAATGACAATTAGAAACTTTAGTGTAACCGATAATTCATTACCTTAGCTCGTCTTTGCGACGGGTTTTACTGCAAATATAGTGTTGAGTCGACAGTATCAGCTTTTAGTCTCGAATAAATATTTCTACAGAAGTACATGTCACGAATATCTCCTATTCAAGGTGGATGGTCTGTCAACTAGATAGGAGCATCTCGGTGAACTGCCCACATACCTGACGTGGAAGATTACTATCTCCTTTACTAGGTCGAATGAGATTCTTGTACAACAAATTATCCCTGTCAGTTCAACAGGCAGTATGTGCTGAGAATAGATTGGGCTATCCCCTGTACCTCAAGCTTATTCTGACTGTCATAGGTGCATTCAAATCATTGATAAAGTTATAGCGCCATCTCTGACTAGTAGAAGATTGACCCGATCACTAAGATCCACAGGAATTGGCTAGAAGGCATATGGAAAGGAGTCCCTGCCTGCCTGCGCAATGGCATATGCCTTATTCTTCCGGCTTTGCTGCTCAAAAAAGCGTTTCACCCGAAGTGGATATTCCGCCTCTGTATTTCCGTAAAATGGATCACCATATGTCTCCCACACAGGAATAGTGCCTTGCCAATATTCGTCAGGTTTAGACTTTTCCCAGCCTACTTCCCATCTATTAAACCCGTGACGGACGCGGACATGAGATTCATCTTTATTAATATTGACCCGCAGAACAAGGACCATATCAACCTCTCTCTTGATAGGAGATCGAGTGTTCTCCCATTGATCGGGAATAAAACCATTGACAATTTTATTCAGGCCCCAGAGTTTCTCATTGGTTTTTATGTCGTCATCTGTGACCGGCTCATTTGGATCCATACCGGATTTCTCCCAGTCAAGCGCATGAGCAGTTCCATTGATCACAGTCGACCGCCAGGTGAGCCCGTGACCGAAGGTCGAACGGGCACAATAGATACTTTCGGTTTTAGCAGTTGACACCGTGACGGGCAAGCCCTCAGGTTTGCGGAGCGCCGCTTGAAAATCGCATGGAAGCCAGCCTTTCGCATATAGCACCGTTTCTGGGTCTGGTTTTGTAGGGTCTTCGGGTCTCGGTGGTTTGATAGATTCTGCCATTCTCCCTGGCAGATAAATCACGTACGGGTAGGTTTTTCCTTGTTGCTGAAATGTAAATTGCAGAACATGCGATGCGTTGATCAGCTCCACAGCCACCGTCTCATCGTATACATCTGCCAGTAAGGACATTAGAAAAGGATTTAGGACCTAGCGAGTAAGATATGGATGGTTACCCTTATGACGACTCTCTAACTTCTTGCAAGGGGGATCCTCATCATTAGGTCTGAAATCTTTTGCCTCTCCCATCTTGTGTGCGCTTAATGGCAGTTCCGTCGAAATCTTGTGCCTGGGAGAAATTTCTTGGAGAAATACGTACATTTATTTCACTGCTAGGCTAAAGACCTAATGGTCCATTTATATAACTGCAATGGAGAAAGCGGGAAAGGTGAAAAGCCCTTCACCGTAGTCTACGGCGCCGATGCAACTCCTGGATGCAACTCCCGGTACCAGACCGATGGACTTGTCTAATATCGTTTCCGTCTGAACCCCTTCCAGAAGTCAATGGTGGTAGCAGGCTTCGGAACTTTCCATAATGAATGACGATAACTACCAAGACTGCGACCGTGGTATTGAGTCAGGGTGCTTCCTCGGGCTCCACCAACAGCTGGGACCGGAAATTTATATCCTGAAAAAGCCAACTGTCTAACGCTAGCCAAGTCTACAGCGGGCACATCAAAAGTTTGAATCCAGTGTATTTACCGCTAGCCTTGATCGGGACTCCCTACTATAGTGCCGCAGATTTGAATCTTCACGTACCTCACTAAATTAATTAATATCATGGCGCCTTGCGAAGAATTCTCGCTGTAGACGTGATCATGCATATATGGGCTTTATACTATTAAATACTCTCATTCTAGGATTCATAGAAAACATCCCGATATCCCTCAGGACTATCATGACTACTGGTCGCAAGAATCTATCCGGATTCCTAATCAGGCTAGCGGTAAATACTCTGCATTCAAACTTTTGATGTGCCACTGTAAACCTGATCATTGATCTGCGTAGCATCAATGGTCCAGAGACCGGGGCATGCTTGTGCTACGTTGTTGGAGGGTTACTGCATGAGGTAACAGCCGTTGTCGTGATGTCCATGGCCTCAGAATGTCCGCCAAGTCACCAAGTGTCTGCTGAATACGTATCCACTTAGCAACTTCTTTAAATTCAGATAGTCTAGACAGTGAGATTGGACAGTGTGATACACTCTACTACTCCTTTTCAAAACATCTGAGATCCAGGTCTAGATTTTGAGGCCATCGCGTTAGACATTCAAAGCGTCGAGTTCCATGGTGGCTGGGTGCTGCTCTGGCTGAAAAGTTCGAGGACAATCAATCCTCCGTCATTAGTATAGGCAACACTAGGTTGACCATGCTCGCGATCGGCACCTTGGTTGGACGGTGAACTTCTGAGTCAGACTTGGTCCGCTTCTCTACCATTTGACGCGCATTTCCGGGACATCAAGAGAGTGTAAGAGGGGAACTGAAAGCCAGCAACTTGCTCAAGAAGCTATACAGAGAGGATGGGTTCTAGGGACCGGTTCCTAAAAGTTGTGCCCCACCCTGATGTAGTAATTGCCATTAAATTGGTCATATTGGGACTGCCCTAGTAGATAATACAATTCTTTTGTATATATGTAAAAATGGCTTTATTTTAATTGTGCAGTATTAAGATGTCTTTAGGTTTTCAACGATGGCCAAAATCATTGCTGGGGTGGCTCGCTCAGTGTCCGACTACGTTATGCGAACTGTTGTCTCGCCATGAGCTGGTCGGAAAAGTGATGTAAGGATCTACTTAGCAGGGTAGATAACCTGTTGACTAGGTAAGGATCAGTAATGATTTTGAGAAGGAAAGCAATAGTATATTCAGTTGATCCCCTTAATCCAAGACTAATCCTTATCTTCCTTAAGACAGACAAGGAGAAGGCGCTCCCATATACCTTTATTAATGGTTTAATGGTGCTTTGCCCAGGAAGTGTAGATGTAGGTAGGTAATATTATATATAGATGTAATATAAGGTGATGATATAACCTTCTCTATATCTACTCTGTTATAATTTATATCCCCTTCTACTGTGATTACTGTCCTTAGTTATGTAGTATAGCTTTAATATTTCTGAAATAGGAAATGACTATATATTTAAGAAGGTAATAAATAAAGGGTTTAGACTTATAACTATAATCTAACTATAGTATAAATAGTATATCTTTATTTTAGTGTTCTTTGTTTGTATATTATAAGGTGGTTATTATTAGGGTAATATTATTATAAGTAACTATACAACAGCTTATTAAGGGCTGTGAGATAGCCATGCACAGTATAGCCCTACTAGTAAAGGAGAATCATAATCTATATATAGCTAATAAGAAAGAGAAGCAGAAAATGAGGTAATCTAGATGCTAGATAGCTCCTAATGAAGGACTCTGCGTGCAGGAAGCTAGGGATCTTATCTAGGCAAGAACTGAGCAAGATATTGAGGTTAAAGGGCCATCCACACCTTTACATTTAGAACCCCTAAAAAGCACACCACTAAGGTGTACTAAATACTTCATTGTAGGGTATACTAAAACTAGATGCCCTACACGCCATACTAGCTAGATCAAATAAAAATATATTGTTTTGGTTGATTTGGATGGCTTCAAACATTCAAATGCATCAAAATCGGATGGGGGGTGTCCCGCTCGGGTGTCCCACTCGCCCGGGAAATACGTTATATAAGATTAGTAATCACAATTAAATTTTAATAGCTAACTATAGAAAATATGCCAATAGCTGACTAGAGAGATTTAATAACTTAAAATTATAGTTAAGAAAGCTTAAGAACTGCTAGCTAAGTGATTAACAGGCATCACAGGTGACCCAGACGGTTGAAAGGTAACAGCTGCCATTGTTGAATACTTGTAATAAAAGACATGATATTGGTGATACATGGCCGGCCGTGTTGGGTGTGGCGCATGCTAGGGTGATGGGAACATTACGCCCTGAAGGATTGGAGCACCAGAAGAGTACAGTGTATACTACTCCACTCTTATATGCCAGAATGCTCGTGTTTGTAGGTATAATGTGAGAAAGGATGGCAACAAGCAGGAGGAAAAATGCTATGACAAAAAGCGGTGCCCCTAACCACAATGGGTTCTTTATAAGAGGCTTAACCCTACACGAAGTGGAACGATCAACTTGTCAGAAAGCTATAGTCCCAAAACGCGCCCATCATCGCCGCAATCATCAAGCAAGGCCCACTACACTCACACGGATCCCTACGAAAATAGCAATGACTGGATCCCGACTGCTAGCCTATCAACCCGCCCCCGCACGAACATTGCGTCACTACACCTAGCAAGACAGCCTTATACGGACAATAACGTAACGAGTTGACTCCTATTATGAATATTCAACAAACTAAAATAACCTTTATCCACTTGCAGCCTTCCAGATGAAGTGACAGAACTTTTGCAATGTCGTACATACCTTCGCGGGATTCGAAAAGGAAAAGCAGAATATAGGGGAAGAAAGGGGATAAGAGAGAAGAATGACAGGAGAATATTCTAAGCGCTTCACCAGATAGCATATCCAGAGTCATGCTGTCTTGGTTCTCCACCGGCATCAAATTTTCCATTATGCCATCGAAGCGCCTGTGCAGTGCTTTGGCCGGGGGTAACCCAAGTCACATTATGTCCCAACGACGCCATGAACCCGACTATAGAACCGTTATATGGCCTAACAATATATTTATCATCTTCATCCTTAGCCCCCGCTTCGAAGTAGCTGCTGCATGGAAAAAGCTGGTTGTGTAGACGTGGCTGTGCCAACGCTTCTTGTGCTGTCAATTTCTCATCAATCGCATGTATGGTGTTTTGAACAGTCGCCGTAGTAATGCGACTGCCCCCGGCAGAGCCGGTCAGAAACGTAAAGTTATCTGGACCGGTCACAATCAGTGGAGACATGGACGACTGCGGGCGTTTGTGTGCGAGGATGTAGTTCTGCGGTGACGGGGGAATCCCAAACTCGTTATCAAACCCGGAAATGGAGAAATCTAACCGTAGTCAATTATAAGATGACCCATAGAATTGTATTTGTATTCTATACCATTCATTCCATTGTTCATGATAATCCCCGTCTCAGGGACCATCACTCGGCTTCCAAAGTAGAGGTTGACTGAGGTAATCAGAGAGATTGCTAGTCCCGAATCATCTGCTGCAACTAGGTGCGAGGTTCCACCGCTACGCCCTATTAGCACGCCTTCATTGAAAGGGACGGAATCAGAGTGATAAATACCCCGTCGGAATTGAACTAGCAAAGGAAGTGTACCAGGACGCATCATGAGTTGTGTCGTCCGAAATTTTACCGCGTATCGTGTCCACTGTCGACTGTTCTAACATCTTCTGCTGATATTCTTTAATATGGGCATCAAAATCTGGATCTCCCAGATATTGTCTCTAGTTCGAGTCAGCTTCTGTCCAAGGAGTTTACCGAATTGAAACGCAGACCATGCCATATCCAAATTTCATCGCCTCCACCATTAGGTGTGTGTTGAGATACTGATCTGCGGAATCCGCAAAGTTGTACTTCTCTAGAACCTTTAAGATATTAAGCGCAACTGCACCACTAGCGGGGGCGCCTGTGCTGACAAGGGTGTGGTTCCTGTAGGTGGTTTTCAGCGGCTCACGATGCTCAATATGATAGTTCTTCAGATCGTCCACAGTCATGATACCCCCTGCAGCCTGGACGGCTCGGACGGTGTCATTAGCAATGACACCACTGTAAAAGGGCTCTACACTGTTGGCGTGAGCAATCTCTCTCAATGTTTTAGCATACTTTCCCCTTTTAATCTTGCCTCCTTGATCGACTCGTTTACCATCCGGTGCAAAAACCTCCTTCCAGGGCCCCTTCGTTAAGAATTCCCCATCAGCTTCCGCAAGATCCATGTAATGCAACAGGTCCTTGGTAACCGGGACTCCCTTTTCAGCTGCCTCAATTGCCGGTGATGCAACAGTATGCCAGTCAAGGCGCCCATGGGTGCGCAGGAGGTATTCCAACCCTCGAAGCTCCCCGGGCACGCCACTGAGAGGTTAGCATTCAAGATTATTACGTTTCGCCCACGTGTCTGCATATATTTACCTGGCTAAGCCACCAAATATGGATGCTTTTCTGTCATGGCTGAACATATTGTTGTAGGCCGCGGCAGGGGCTGTTTCTCGAAAATCGATGGATTCGTATTCGCCATTTGTGTTGCGAATCACCATGAACCCTCCCCCACCAATCCCGCTGTGATACATGCCTACACTATGTATCAGATGGATATTGCCCTGTCAATTCAGGTTACTTACTGACGACTCCGACGCAGAGGACCGTGGCAACCATCTGTGGGAAAAGAACATCAGGACTCAAATAAAATACCTCGAAAAAGATGTCATACGTACAACATCAGCAGCCGTGCCTTTATCTCCATTTTTATTAGTCTTCGTCAACATTTCGATCCCTCTCTCGCTACAATACTTGCTTTCGCTGGCCACGGCGCCGTGGGGTTCCTTATCGAGATCATTCTTCAGAAGTATTTGTGGATCAAGTGGAATATCAAATGAAGGTGGGTATGCTCCAGTGACTCGGAAGCATACCAGAACCAGTACCAGCAGCTTGACGATGGATGCTTTGGCGTACATTTGGGAGCAATTCTTTTCCAAAGGATGTCTTTCTCTTACTTGTAAAAGAGTATTAGCCGATGTTGGCCGAGGTCAACGACCTGGAGGGCCTCTTAAGTATTTCTGAGAGTTGCACCTGGTTCAATGATGAATTAGCTGGATGCAGTAGGCAATAGCTCCATGAGATGACGTGAGTCCGGATACCTCCGGTCAACCTAGACAGAGTCGCAAGCGTCATACTTGCTTCAAAGACATCATGAGTTACCTAGGAGGAGGTGCTATCCTAGCGAGACCGTCACGGCCGTAGTCAACGTCGGTGACGAAAGTACCAAACGTAGCAGTAGACTGTGAAGGGACGAAGTGGAGTAAGGTGGTATCTAGACCCCTTTGGCATCAGCCTGGATTTCCGCATGTGTAGGGTTCTGTCAGATGCATTTGGCAGTTGGACGTGAACTCCTTTTTCAATGGTGGCCTGCGTTTACTAGTATAGTCTCCATGAGTGCGACAATGGCCGGACAAGCCTAACTCAAGCCCAAATAGTTACGACACGGGAGAAAAACGCCAAACCATACATGAACACAGGCCAAATGAAGAAGAAAGGGGCCTATTATTCTAACGGAGTAAGGACGCCCAATAGTGGAAGGCGTACGCAAGCGGCTCTGGCCTTCTATCTTCGACCATTGAATACATAACAGCGGGTATCATCACCGCGAGGGATGAGCATACATCATATCGTTGATTTCCCCATGAGCATGCGCTATTTCTTTGAGCGAACTTGTCCAGTTCGAGAATTAGTGGGGTGTAGAGGTGAGGGACTGCTGAGGAGGATATGTGATGGGCAACCTCCAAGGTGTCGTCAGACGTTCAGAGTTCATTGGCCACATTGGATTTTCTCAGCATTAGATTTCCCAAGCAATGTACTGTAACAATCCTGGACTATTCCAAGTCCACAGCAGTATTCTCCACAGGCAGGGCTCCTTCGTCCCTCATTTCGAGCGCAACTCGACCAACTTCACTCCACAGTCGGAGTAGATTACCCCCAATAACTTTACTGACATCCTCGTCGCTGATGCCCCTTTTCAGTAGCTCCCTAATCAAGTTTAGGAACTTGGACACATCCTTCCAGCCCACAGCATAGAACGTCGACCCCGTCAAAATCACTCCCTAATCCGACATGGCCGTATTCAACCAGATTGCCAATATACTCGATGTGGTCTGCAACGCGCGGGTAGCATGTTCATCATCGCGATCGGGCATACCGTCGGGCCTATTAGAATTCGTACAGGAGACAAAACATGAGTAGAAGTTGACCATCACCAAGGAGTTTCTTTTCCCGACCAGCTGCAGCACGTCATCTGGCACATTACGTGGGTGGTGACAGAGTGCGTATGCGGAACTGTGGCTGGAAATAACCGGTGCTCGACTGCCACTCCAGTCGTCCTTGCCACCGCCCAGTACGTCTCTCATCGTATCTGCACTGACATGTGCAAGATCGACAATCATCCCGAGTCGGTTCATCTCCCAAACAAGGCTCTTGTGCTTCACTAACTCCATGCCAGAAAGGACGAGATTTAATCAGGCTACCGTCTGGGAGCTCAGCTTGTGCTGCATCTACATAGAGATTATGGCAATCATGGGTGAGGATGGCGTAGGACACACCAAGCTGGTAGAACTCACGCAGTTGGACAAATGAGTTCCCGATTGAGTGGAGGCCCTCAATCCCCAGTGGAGAGATAATCCTTCCGTCTTTGCAGGCTTCGAGAGCGGTGCTACTATTTGGTGGCGTTGAGAAAACATGGGGATATGCTTGCTGAAGACGTTTCATGACGTCTACCTGCTCCTTTGTTTGACGCACCCCTCACGCGTAATGTTAGTTGCGATCTGTTAAACTTCCCAGGGTATTTCCGTACGTAATGCATAATTGGCGTTGGAGAAATCCATCCAGTCTGCGGGACACTTGACGTGCACGCTCCAGAATGTGCCACCAACACGGCCCTTAGCAAGTCGTGGTAGGTCGACATGACCGGGGAAGCCACCATGGATGAAGGGCTTAGTGAAGGCCTCTTGATAAATCTGGTTATGGTAACTCACGAATCAGCCCAGCAAGGTCATCATAGCCATCTGTTCGGATTTAGTACCACAAAAAGTAGCTGATGTACCTCTGTCGAGCTTACCGAACAATGGACTTTCCGACAGGATCCTGTCTACTCTCTCTTCCATAGTTAAGACTGCGGCAGGTCCCGGTATGCCTGAGCACAGAGTGCCTGACCATAGGCTTTTGGATACCGTAATGAGAACGCTTCCCATGATAATAAACACCAGAAATGCTTTTATTTTCTGGCGAATGGAGAATGCACTTGAGTTGGCCGTCGTACCATGGCACGATCCTCGGTTCGGGGATGACGATCGAACAGTACCATCTTTACACACATATAACCTTGTTTAATGCAGATAAATGTTGGGGTCAGAACGAATGAGCGTTCCTAAGACCACATACCATGGAAGTAGAATATGGTACTACGCACAACGCGATCGGAAACTTATAGTTATTTTGTTATTTGGAATGATCCAGCTAGGTAGATGGCTTCTATGGCACCTTAGAAATGCAGGCAAATTGACGTTATAGATGTACTGGCCTAGGATATTCCTGACAACATCCCTCCTTGAATGACTTACTCCCTTGCTTGCCTCCAAAATTCCTCTATGTTTCTTAGCTGCAGAGCGCTCAAAAGGGACCTATGTCTACAGAGCCACAATTTGTGGCAGCCGCGATCCGGAAAGAGCCTACCAATGGGCAACGCGTCGCGGTTACACTGGCATACTTACGCGGCGCAGTTGTTTGCAAGGATTTATTGTGCTGTCAGTGAAGTCGAATTCCCGATTCCACTGAGTTTAAAACTAATCTAGACTTGGCTTGGTCACTGTATGCCACGCCACATCGTTTGAACTTAACAGAGGTTATGCAACGGTAATGTGTGTCAGTGGGAGTTATGCCACCATTACCACTTTCAGTATGAAGGACGCATCCCCTCTAGACTCCGAGAGCCGAACCAGGGAAACGGAGAATACGTATTGATTAGACAATAGAACTGGGCCTATAATTCGGTATGCAGCTTTGTAGCACATGCCAAATTCTCTCAGCTACAGTTAACTAGCTCATCCTAGCTTAGCTCATTAAGATGTAAATGTAAAGTTAAACACCGCAACGGACGCTGGAGCCTGAGACATAGGTTCTCTTTTTCCAGTAATAGTAACATAATTGTTTAGTCTATATCCAGCATACTGTTTCTCGAACGAACGTTGAGCGCGTCGGCAAATGAAAAGTTGGTCGATATTTCCTTCTCGTAACGCCCCCCTAACGCCAAGCTATCATCTTCTAACCCTAACACAGTTTGAATTAAGATATCTAAATAGTCTGATACCCAGCCATTCGTTGGAGCAACTTCCTGTTTATTTCAACAGTCCACGACTCACTGCAGCGGAGTAGAGCCTACTGACATGGCCTTGGCATTTAGTTCTAACTTATGCATGCACATCTGTTTCAAGGTGCTGATTGCATCGGTCATTCTTGTACCGGGAATGGCCATATTAGTACTTCCGAAAACAACATGCCCACCTGCACCCTTGTTCTTTCTTTCCTCATTTTGGGCCTACCGAACCTTAATTGAAGAAAGTTCATGTGCATTGCCGCTCTGGGCATCCCTTGTAAGATCCGGAGTATGAGAAACCGTGCTGCCGGAAAGCTTCTATTCCGCAGACTTTTCTCTGAGTCTCGAAGCGTACGGTCAAGCCGCTGAGGATTCTGAGATGCCTGAAAGGCAGACGAACGATTTATGTACACTAGTGATGTGGGAATAGCCTCCCGAAAGCCAATGCAGATAACCTTTCGAGACTTTTTACAGCCGCTGGAGTATAGGATATCCTCTATATCAATTGCGGTCGTCCCAAACTGCGAACATTGCCCGAGTTTACTTTACTCTCACTTGAGTGGCTCCAATATACCAGCATCCCGTGGTTGCATGTTTATGGGCCGCTCGGCTTTACGATGAATGAGGTTACTTCGTATCTTCTATTATGCCTTCAATCATTGTGACTACACTTTCGTGACGTCAGTTAGCTGGAGGTCTTGGCTTTGTACTGGAGATCGGATGCCAGGAATGTATATCATGCATGTATTTTAGGATAATGAACTTGAAGCACCAAAATTTAAGGTTATACTAGAAAATGTTACTTTCATCCGGCCGGATTCAGGTCCGGAAATAATAAGCATGAGTACGCAGTTTTACAAGCGTGCACTGTGAGCTCATAAGCTCACTACCGTTCTCTGGATGGTTGTCCCATCATCCAGTCGCTCGCTGAAAACAGCCCCTTGCCACCACATTAGCAAATGATGATGAAATCATCTCTACTGGCATATTTCGTGTACTCGAACGTAGACCACATAAAGGTCAAAGACAGCAAGTTGGCCAGGACGTTTATACTCAGACTCTAAGCTTAACGTAGATCCTGCCATCCTGCCATCCTGCCATCCTGCCATCCTGCCTGTGACGGAATCTCCCTCTATTCATGGCCTCCACCGCAGTGCAGCTGCCCCTCCGTGACCCATGGTCCTCCAAGGACTTCGGAGCCATTTATCAATGGCGTGCCAACGCCATCAAAGAGGCCGCCGTCCGTCCCGTATCCTCTCTGGACCCAACTGTGGAAAGATTCCTCAATTTGCTGGACAACAAAAGCTTAGGCCTGGGGGACCTGGCCAATAAAATGCTCAGCGAAATTCCCCCAACCCCAACATACGATTATGATCCGAGCGGGAAATTTGGCCGCATGACCGATTATAAACATATGGTGCAATGCATCAATCGGATTTTGTACACAGCGCCGCGCTGGGACCACGACGAGTACAAAGTTGGCCTGATTGGGGTCCCATTCAATGCACTCTTCAACTGGCCAATGGCAACTGAAAGCGGATTTCAGTTCTTCAAAGACAGCAAGGTCAATGGCTGTCTCAGAAACATTCTCACGGCCCATGGTGACTATCTTAAAAGCCCAAAGTCACAGTCAGCTCTTCTGTCCTGGTTTGAGGAGGAGCCTCTCAAGCTCATGACAGAAAAAGCCTCTCCATATTGGCCCGACGGCAGAAATAAAAAGTTCGAGGAGATTTATGTTTGTAATCCTGCTGATAAAACAGGCTGCTGGGGCTTTAACTCTTGGGATGACTTCTTTATACGGGAATTTTGTAAAGGCGTTAGGCCAGTCGCCCGCCCAGACTCAAACCATGATCCGGATGAGTCCAGCAAGGCTGTCATCACGAATGCCTGCGAATCGGTCGTCTACCGGTGCCAAAAGGACGTGCAGAAAAGAGATAAGTTCTGGCTCAAAGGACAGCCATACTCGCTAGTCGATATGTTGAACTTTGATGAGAACGTTGACGCGTTTGTCGGTGGAACAGTCTACCAAGCATGGCTTGCGGCTGAATGTTACCACCGTTGGCACTCACCGGTCACTGGTACCGTGAAGAAAATCGTCCCTGTGCCGGGAACCTACTTTTCGGGGTTACGAGAGTACGGTTTCCCTGAGGTATCTGGCAACCGAAATATTCCCGATCCATCAGGCCCAAACCTCTCCCAGAGGTACATCACCGCCGTCGCTACCCGGACAATCATTTTTATTGAGGCTGATAACCCGACCATCGGACTCATGTGCTTCATTGCGGTAGGGATGGATGAGATCTCGAGTTGCGAGGTCACAGTAAATGAGGGCGACCAAGTCATGAAGGGAGATCAACTGGGTACGTTCCATCTGGGAGGATCAACCCATTGCTTGATTTTTCGGCCAGGGGTGCATCTGGACTGGGCGAGGGACGCGCAGCCCCCATACAGCGACACCGAATTCGATAAGCATACCATCATTCCAGTGAATTCGTGGCTAGCGTACGCGCATAGAACTCGATAAGTTCCAAGCGACCTGAACCCCACATTGCAGGTCAAAAGCGCCAGGTAGAATTACACTTATTGAAAGAAGCATCCGGTAAGTAGTAGGAATTCGTCTCATTATTATTGTGCATCATTCATTCATTTGCCTCGAAGTTCTTTTTTATGTATACAATGAAGGAGTATAATAGCACCAAACATTAGGAATGCGTTGAGACAAGATCTGGCGCACTTTCCCCAAGTGGCAGAAAGTATGTCGGTCACGCATGCTCCACGTACTTATGCATGTAGAAGGTATGCGGGAGGGGAAGGTCGTCCCAAATGGTCAAGCGGGCTATCGAAACCTATTGCCCTGCCTAGGATATAAGAAGCTTGTAGAGTTCCGCAGTACACAAGAGTGCACAAGAATGACCTGTAGGATACAGACTACATTTGCCTACTACAGCTCACAATATTCGAAATATGAAAAACTCCGGACCGATCTTCGGGGTGACTGACTCCCCTTGCGCTCACAGAGGAGTCAAAGTACCCTCCTTGATTCGCTGCTGCTTAATTATCATATGTCTGCTGCTCGTTGGCGTCAGTTTGTTCTCTCTCCCCATTCCCCTAAGCTTTGTTGCTGCGAGGCAGACCGGGCTCCAGAATGATGGCCAGGATTATGCTCCCCTTCAGATTGAAAAGCGAAAGGTGCCACTGGAAGTACACATCGAAAGCCGTTGCCCTGACGCCAGAGATTGTTTACAAAAGTTGGTTGTGCCTGCATACTGGCAGGTGAAAGACGAAGCGTTCTTGAAGATAAGTTACGTGGGCGAGTACGTCGAACACTATATTCTCGATAAATGTTAGCTCTAATGCCCTTTGTGTATCCAGGATATGGGAACAACCAAAAAAGGACGTGACCTGTCAACATGGGTGGAACGAGTGTGATGGCAATAGGATGCTTGTGTGTGCAGGAAGATATGCAAAGTCCCCTTCGCACACTCTGGGCTTCACCAACTGCGTCTTATCCGATTATGAACGTGTTCCCCAACCAGATCTCATTGAAGAATGCGCATTAGAGCATGATATCAACTATAGCGAGATTGAGAATTGTGCAAGCGCACAGGAAGGTCGGGATCTGCTGATTGAGAGTGTCCAGCGTAGTGTTGATGCGAAGTCCAATTTCAGCTGCACCGTCCGTGTGGATAATAAGGAATGGTGTGTTCGAGATGACTATATGTGGAAATGTGATAGACACCATTATACGGTCCAAGGGTTGGTCGATGAAATCAGGAAACTATCAGGGAGACAGCAGAAGCCATGACCTTCCTTAGTCGCATCCTGGGAGCTGGACACTGCTAGCCTACAATCTATCAGTTCTCATCAGAGGTTCCTAGGAACCTCCGCGATTTGTCTTCCAGTTCTCAAAGTAAATCCTACCTGTTATCAAGATTTTTCACCGTGTGATGTGGTTTGATGTGGTCCATTTCGCTTCAGATCGCCGCGACCTCCGTATTGGGTTTGCGGCTTGTTCAATCAGCGCAGATGCACTAAGGTTGAACACACTTTGGAAGCACTCCAACCTAGCTGGTTGTGGATTGGGTTTGGACGGATCCGCAAGGGGTTCAATCCAACCCATGCGGATTATGGGTTGATACATGACCTATCTAACCCACCTTATATCCATAGGGATTGGATTATGATAGTATCTAGTCAGGTGACCTCTAGTATTCAGATTACTACCTATTTTCTAGTATTCTAGCCACACCCCTATGATATCTATAAATTTTATTTAATACTATAATAATCTACTATATAAGTATTATATATTACCAATTATGTAAGGTAAAACAGCCTTATATAGGGGAGTAGTGGTACTCCATATGGCTAAGATGAAAGTGGTGCGGAGATATATATCTTGCCACCACTATACTAATCACCACCATCTAAAATATAAAATCAACCATAGCTCTAGTTTTTCTTAGTAAACCTGATATTCTATTGTTAAATTGATAGATATAATCATTCCCTATCTATATATATAAAAATATATCCGTATATAGGCTAAATTAGGTTAGATAAGCTTATCGGTTCTATAAGCTTTTAGGTCGAGTGGACCTAATGGGTTATCCATATCCATGCGGGTTGGATCAGGGTCACGCCCCCATCCAACCTAAAGTGCGGATTGGGCGGGTTGGATGTGGATTGCGGATTGGGTCAGCTAGTCTACTCCACCTGGTATAGCCTTTCGGTTCAACCCTCAGGATATCCCGAGCGCGGTTCCGATACTTGGCCATGTCTAAAATAGATGTCATGGGAACGTAATGAATGATACATTCCACTTTTCATAATTGGGCTCATCGAGCGTTCTCACATTTCCAGTGGTGCAGCTAGTCCCCTCCCCGTTGGCCATGTAACATAAGCTTTCCAAGAACCACATTCTCTGGGTGCTACTAGACGGAGTAAACATCGGTCGGGTCCACACCGGTTAGGATCGACCCGGCGGCCCAAGGAATCATCGCGACCCAGGCTGGTTGAGTCGATGCATCCGGAGAGATATCGAAACAATTTACGAGTGGTGATGTTCTCATCGGCAGTCAGAAAGTGGATGACATCTGATACATTTGCTTAGCTGTCTACGTGGTTTACAGAGTATACGCCGCCAGTACTCTGGTCTAGTTGCTAAACCTTGTTTCCGTTGTTAAGGGCAGCGCGGGCATTCCAGCAGGACAAATCGTCTCTAGAATGGACTGTATACTAATACGCTCCCAGCGAAGACGGAATAGTCTACACGACCGGTCTGGCTACACCTTAAACATCACCTGATTAATTATCGTCACTTTTCCACGACGACTAACAGAAGCGTCATGCCCCTTTACTGACAATCATTTTCCAGTTCCTTGCTCCAATGGATAGTGGCTGACTCACAAGTTTGTTGCCCTCGCGTTCCGGGTTCAGTTTTTGGGACCACCAGCATTGGTGGCGAGCTGAGACCCTTTGAGCGGCGCAGGATGCCGTAGTGTAACCTCTAACATGTAAGATGGTATAGGCATTTTGAGTCATGGATGTGGCCCCTGCGACCAAGAGTTTGAACATTGAGTCTTACATTACTCTGGTTCCCTTCTGGTTCCCTACTTTTCGCATCCATGCATAACTGGCAGCAGCTTGAGCCGGAGATACCAGATAGATCGAGCCTGGAAGTCCTAACCTGATTTAAGGTCTGTATCTAATTCATTTCATACTGCACGAAAATGGACTAACTTTATTATTGGATACTCTATTCCATTGAAAACCTAGTCCTATTTATGTGTTAGCTTGAGTGGTGAAAGTGAATAATCATCTCATCGGAGCATTATAGATAATCAAGACCAGATTCTGGACCTCGAGATTTGTCTTTGAGCATTCCAGCGATACATTAGCCTTGTGGATACTCCCCTATGTGATGGCGACCGACCCTATCAAACTGTAACTCTTAGTCAAAACAGCTATATAGAATACCAATTGCTGTGCGCCCATATTACGAAGCTCTAATGTCTACTTATCCGACTCTTGAATCACAACACCGAATCCTAAGTACCCGCAAATGGCTGTTACGCAAATAATAGTTTGTCGAGATAGGTGGCCAAATGATAACGCAGTCATATTGGCACTGACGTGGAGGAAAACCCTCCACCACCATGATTGAGAGGTTGGAGCTGAACCTACCGGTTGACATTAATAACTATCCAGGTTTCGGAACAGCCGAGTGCTGATGGCCTGTGTCAACAATGCTGAGCAGTATGCTCTGCTTGTTTGGCGCACTGACGAGTCTACGGTCAAGTGCGCAGCGGAATCCTTATAGAAAAGTAAGAAAAGGAAAGCCAAACAATATTGAAAGAGACAACGTTCGAACTAACTGTTTGATGCTACTAAAGATCCGCGCGTTTACCTCGACAGAAAAAGGACTATGATGCTGATAGCTATTTCAAACTGCGATGGCCGTAGCCGATAAGCCACAATACTGAGGACGGAATGTTAACACAACGAAATCTGCATGCAGCATTCGCCCAGACCTTTTACATGCGTCAGGTGTATTGATTTGATAACATTGAACAAACCCAACCTAATCAATGACACTTATCTTTTATTTAGACCGGTGCAGTTTGATGACAGCAATGCCCAAAAATGTCAATCTGTCATAGGCTCGTATAAAGGGCTGCAAACGGACATCTACATAGTTATTGTACGTCGTGGATAACGTCATGGCGAGGCCTTTCAAAACTACAGGAAAGGCTTCCCTTCATGATGCCAGATGAAGAAGGGTACTTGGTGCCGATCCTCAGTCAGGTCCAGTGTAATCGTACCAGTTCTGATGAAAGCGTCCACTGTATGGATGAGATTAAGTCACTTCGCAAGGTGACCCCGTTTTGCTTTGGCGCGCCGCGCTATTACCTTTGTTCCTCACCAAACTCTTATCCAGACTTTCTCTCAACCTTCTCCACCATCTCCCCAATCGGTGCTCGAAGCCACTTCAAGTTTTTGGTGGTATTTCGTCCTTTCGATAGTACTATCCCGCTCCTTTCTCAATCCTTTCTCCCGTTAGGTTTCGTCCATCTGCATCGTTCGAGCAAGGAAAAAGGACCTTTAATGAAGCAAACATGTGTACCAATGCACCTCAATAGGAGCTGTGAATATGAAAACGCCCAGACAAGCGATAATAAGCACGACCCATTCAGTCCTCCTGAACAGAGTCCCCTGGACATGGGTAATCTCCATGCTGTTCTGCCAACATTCAAGCCTGCGACATGATCATGCGCTATTACCTAAGAGACATATTATTTTCTGGTTGTAAGACGGAGTACTCCGGAGAAAGAAGTTTTTCATTCCAAGGGGTCTCGAGCCATACTATGATTCTAGATTGGTCGATTCGCGATGATTCTGATGCCACATATTCAACCATGACCTCAATCTACGTAACAAGGTTGCGGCACATACAAACCGATCCTTCCCCGGCTGAATCGCATGCGGTGGTTTGGTGCAGACGACAGAGATGCAACTCAGACAAGAAACACATCAGCATATTTATTCCTCCATGAATCGCCTTGTGTATCTCCTCGTAGAAAATACCATTACTCATTTTTGCTGACTTTGACCTACACGGAAACTATTCTCTACAAGCGAGGGCCATTTTCATTTCCGTTTTGCACCCAGCCATGCCGTCCGATATGTTGGATCAGGTCTTTACAAAGTATGTAAAGACAAGCTCAAAGATTGCCGTCTATAGAGGTTGTCGGGAGCTGACTATCTTGTGCTGTTTATAGGATCGACCAGCTATCCCAACACTTCATCACTGACAGTAGGTTCTTCTGCGCATGCAAAAAGCTATAAGGCAATCCTAACAATCGTGGATTAGGGCTCGCAAAGGCGGTGGAAATTCAATCAGTGTCTTCTGATCTGACTATTGAAGGACGACAAAAGGTGGATCAGGTACGAATGTTTCGCCCTCTGAGAACCGTTGTTCGTGTTGTTGCAGTTCACTAACTCCCGTCCGTTACCACCCCTAGATGACAGCTTTTCTGGAAACACAACTCAAAGGTTTAGGAGCGACTGTTAAAAGGTATCCACTTGGGAACCAACAGGATACACATCCGGTTCTCAAACTACCCGATGTCATTATCGCCAAGTACCCGGCGACGCCTGACCCCAACAAGAGAACCATTCTTATCTATGGCCATTATGATGTTCAACCCGAGGGTAAGGGGTGGACGCATCCCGCCTGGAGACTCACAGAGGTGAATGGGAAGCTGTATGGGCGTGGTTCAACTGATGACAAAGGACCCATGCTCGCCTGGCTAAATGCTCTTGAGGCCTATCAGGAAGCAGAAGTAGATGTTCCAGTCAATCTCCTGTTCTGCTTTGAGGGAATGGAAGAGACTGGCTCAGTTGGATTCTCGAAATTTGCGCAGAAAAACAAGGAGTTGTTCAGCAAGGTCGAGGCAGCTTGCATCTCCGACAACTACTGGCTTACTAGCAGAAAGCCATGTCTGACTTATGGCCTTCGAGGTATCAACTATTTCACCATCACTATTGCCCAGAAGCCCCTGCCGGGGCGTACGCCTGTACCTCTCCATAGTGGTATATACGGAGGGACCGTCCACGAGCCCATGACCGAACTCGTGATCATGCTGTCCAAATTAGCCGACTCGAAGGGCAACATCCTGGTCTCTGGAATAAACGGCCTCGTCGATAATGTTACATCAGAGGAGATCGCCCAATACCAGAAAATTGATTTCAGTATGGAAGAATTTAATAAAACCATAGGCAGCGATGCAGCAATCTACACCACCGCCCAGGATACTCTCACGCACCGGTGGAGATACCCCTCCATTACGATCCACGGCATCAATGGCGCGGATCCCAGCGAAAAGCAGACGACAGCCATCTACCCCACGGTGACTGGGAAGTTCTCCGTCCGAACGGTGCCGACCATGGAAGACAAAGCGGTCAAAGCCTTGGTGGAGCACTACCTGGACCAGGAGTTTAAGAAGCTAGGTAGTAAGAATACGTGTAAAGTGGAACAGCTCGGTGATCCAGCACCATACTGGGTTGGAAATACCAAGGACTCCAATTTCGCGGCGGGAAGCGCGGCGACAAAAAGAGTATATAACACTGAGCCAGATCTAACTCGCGAAGGTGGAAGGTTGGTTCTTGTTTCCCTTCTTTTTCTGCTTTCCCTCTCTGTTTACATCCAATTCGATAGCACTAATGGCTACTGTATAATAGTATCGGTGTGACACTGGATATACAGAATGCCTTGGGGCCGGAAAAAAGTATCATGTTGCTTCCGGTGGGCAGGTCCGACGACGGTGCTCATGGTCCAGATGAGAAACTAGACAGGGAGAATTATATCAAGGGAAGCAAATTGCTAGGTGCTTACTGGTGGTATTTCGCCAATCACTAAGTTCATGGTTCCCGTTGAGCGGGGTTTTCTTTCCTGACGGGCTATCTTTTTCGGTATCATTGTCTTATATCTTTTTTTATTGTGCTTTGCCCTCTTTACTTGAGTTAGCTCACCCAGGTACCCCTACCTTGAATGGTGAAATATCCCATTGAGGATGGTTGATTCAGGTCATATCTGATGTTGAGTTACCACGAACTTAAAAGTGATTTGTTGAAAGAACTGGGATTCAATTGCAGCACTCTCCGATCTTTTAGAAGGTCATTAACAATATGGCGATATTTGCTACATGAACCAGTCGGTCATTACAACTTTTAGATATATGTTGTCGGGGAAAAGGCTTAGAATATCAGGCTACTCCAGAGTAGCGATCCTTGGCAACCGATCCGATAGTAAAGCATACCTTCCCCTGATACCTAACACTCTTATTCGGCGAATTTCTTCTGAAAATCTCCTGAGGGGCAGTATGCAATGTAATGTAATAATTAGACTACTCTCAAGACCTGATGTATGCTGCAACATCACGAGTTATAAGGACTAGTTTTAGGATAGAAAGTAACGCCATCACAAGCATGGGTCAAAAGAATTAAAAGATTACCTCTTTTAGCTATCTGCAGTAAGCTCTTGGCTCCTCCTGTTCTGCTCTCAAACAGACTTAGCGAAGAACTCCGGACCGCCTCTGACTCTGTTCTGCTCGCTGAGATGGAAACATGGAATGCCTGCCCAGGCAGGATCCGCCTCATCCAAATACGTATTGTAGACCCTCTCTGTAACTTCCCTCGGGATTGACTTTAACGACGGGGGTATAAGTCACATTGACTAGTAGATCGCGACGTTGTTTACGGATCGGCCGGGGACAAGGGCGGCGTCAGAATATTGCTTTCATTTCGTCCCGGTATTTAACGGCCACGGTTGTCAGATGGGCGGCCTGCATTAAGAAGAGGGTTCGCAAGTTATACGCGGAGCGAAATAAAGAGGCCAAGGACATGACTAGCGATCTTGCTAGCGGCAATGGTGAAAGGTAGCCCGCGGTCAACCTTCTGCTAGCCCGGTGTTTGGATGATATTCGATCGGCCCTTGAATTCCCTGAGCATGTCTAACGCAGCTGTAAGCAGCGTTGTGCCAACAGACCGCTTGCACATGGCTATAGTAATGACAGAAAATCTATTGCTGGTTAGTCTGATATAAGATGGCGTCGGAACCTCCCGTGCATTGTTCTTGTTTCTCTAATTGTTCATCTGTACTGTTGCACTCTGGACTGTACCGTGGTCCCGTAAAGTTTCAATTAACAGTCGGGCCTTTCATCTGGCAGGCAAGACCGACGATATGTGACAGAAACTAGCGGGTAACATTAGATGATGAAGTGGGAAATTATAGTAGGCTGAGTAAGTTCTTCTGCTTCCAGTTGCTTGTGGATGTGACACATCACACCCTAAGGGGTGCCTACAAATAAGTCCAAGCCAGTAAACGTAGCCATATACAACTAGTTATGGAGAGGTTGCTGCACTCAGCGCGAACACATGTGGCTCATTGCTTTCCATGGGCCCACGCCCGTAGATGCCGCGTCAATAGGAGTGGGCATTTGAGAAATCCACTGCGTCGCAGTATGATGCAATTGCCGTAAGGCTCATCCTAGTTCAATAGCCGTATTTGAGTAGGTTATATTTGGAGTGAGTTTAGAGCGAGCGTAAGCTTTGTAAAAGGCTTGCTTGGGATTGGTATCTTCCGCATTGGTAATCTATCATTCTAAACTATACCGCCACAAGACATAGTGTAAAGTAGTATGTAGGACGGAAGACCAGGGTATTATTTGCATCTTGAAGATAGATTGCCACAGTGCCCTTGGTCCTCGCCAAGGGGCGAGAAAAGCAACCGCATTGTCAAAGTTGCAAGCGAAAACCGCAAGGGGAATATGCATGCCGGAAAAGAGTTTTTGATTACAGCTACGTAATAGGACTATAGATTATAGCATAGATAATGAATACCATATTTCAGACATTGCCACAGATGCCCTCCTCCCTGACCGTTCCTACCGATTGTCCTTAAAAAGGTTTATCTGGAAGCTAAACCAAACCGGGACCCGAAGCTCTTTGGTTCGTCTTGTTTCCGTTCGTAATAAGCCCTGCACAACTTTTCACCGTAAAAGAAATGCTCGCGAGAAGCTGGGTCAGAATCTGGGAAGCCCGAGACCCTTGCCTTCTGCTCGAACATGATGATGCAGTCCGAGCCGCCGAATGCGAAGTGCGAGATTTCATCGCCTTTCTTAATCTTTTTGCCCTTCAAGTCACATCTCACATTCACGGAAGAAACCATGGCCATACCAATGGGTAAGACAGCAACTCTGCCCAAGTTTTCATTGTTGATAATCACCACTCCCCGCGTCTGAAGGAACTGATAGCCGGGAGTGTCTGGGGCGTCAAGGGTCTGGACGCCAGAGGGATTCTGTGACTTATCTCCAATCTGGCGGGAGAGCTCCAGATAGTTGTGGCCAACCTGCTCGTCCGACTTTACCAGGACCTCAAGATAGGCGGCGCCTTTAATAACGCCAATTTCTTCCACAGTCCCTGAGACTGGTGCATGCTGGCGATGGTAGTCAAACGAATTCAAGAAGACGTGAGTCCAGAGTCCGTCTTTAAAAAGGCTTCCATAGGTTTGGGATTCATCTCCAGGCACTTTCTTGTCACCATATTCACCAAGAAGATCTTTTACTCTCCAAGGAACATTCTTCAGAATCACCTCGTCTTTCACCATCCTGTACTCTTCCTTTTTCAGGACCACCTCAGACTCGTCGCTTATGGCATATGCTCCGGCGAACGTGGAGTCTGCAGGGAAGACCACGATACGATCATCGTCTTGGCCGTCGATTTCACGTGGCTTGTCAAGCTTGCGATAAAAGAACTTATTGAACGATGTCCAGTTGTCAGAGTCCCCTTCGGACTCGAAAACACGAAAGAGTGGAGAGTTTCGAAACGTAGTGATTGTAGCCTCGTTGATCGAGGAAGGCTGGTCCATGCTAGAGCCGATCTCCTGGGCGAATCGGACCACCCACTCTGATAGGGGTTTCGGTTTTTTGTTGATGCTTAGTGGGTGGATGCGGGTCTGACGGCCGCCCATTGGCTCCTGGGAAAGGACAAAGTAGAAGACACAAAGGATGTAGTAGATGTCCCGGCCTTTGGTTGACTCTGTAGGAACCCAGCCACGGACCAGCCAGTCGGCGTAATCAAGGAAGCCTTTGGCTGAGATGATTCCGTACTTGTCCAGCTCGGGGATATCCCATTTACGAGCGTTTTTGACCGCCTGGTCGAGATCATCTACTTCCCAGAGCAGCTCGTCGCGGAGCTCCTGGACAATCTTGCTGTATCTTGGCATGGTACTTTGCTGCTTTGGTATGATAGAGGAAAAATGGCAAGTTGATCAGTGAAGAATGTGAAAGTTCGTTAAGACAGGAGCGGGTGTTAGACATTCCTCTTATACGCTCTCTCCTTCATGACACAGTTGCAGAAATTCCGGAAGTCATGACATACAAGATTCGATAGATAAAGGCAGTCGACCAGTTCTGTGGGGCAGATTAACGCTACAAGTCGTGATATTCACGCTGGGAGATGGCCCAGGCCGTTGAATGAGCTGAGAGTGCAGATCTGCAAACATCACAGCGTGAATTCCTTACGCATGGAAGAGGTAAGTGTGATGTGTCATCGTTAATACTGACTTTCTCCAGTGTAACCATATAGCCTTTTTCTTCCCCTAATATTCTTGTTCATGATGAAGCATTCTCTACTTCCGTTTCCTGCTAACTGTCCACACAGAATGCAACACTTGTGGCTCCCATAATTTGTCATTGGGTTCGGTAAATCTACGCACCACTACATAGTTAGGGCTGCGTAGGACTGGCGCCAGTCGTATGTTACATTCTAAGGGCCCAGGAACAGCACGACACAGTTTATTCGCGAGTAATAGCCTTGAACTTCACTCGAGCATCGTTTGCGTGTTCTAGTTGTGAGTTGTGTGTGGTGGGGTACCTGGCATTGGTGGCATTGTTACAGTAGCTCAGCTTCTTGCTCCATAATCGTGAACCCAAGGCCAACTTGGCTGTCCGGATCTCCTCGGCAGAGCACACGTGGGGCCGACAGTAGTGAGTTAGAAAACGCTGGCTGCGCTGATTTAATCTGGAACTATTGTAGGCAATATGCAAGATGTGGCATCGGCTTGAGAATCTAGTGGAACGAATCTGACGATATGTGGGTACTCCTGGAGCTAGGAGAAAAACGCGCGACAGCACCGGGAACCTGGGTCTCAACTTCGTGCAAAGTCCATCACTGTTTGTCCAATCGGTCTAATCTGTTAGACAATGTAATGCGTTATTGCTCTCATTCATTGCTACGTCGGACCTTCTTCCCATGGAATTAGTATCATCCATTGCCTTCCCGGTCAAATGTATCACGCTTCGTATGCAATATTCTGACGGGACCTCCTTTAACATTAAGCCAGTAACACTATACCAGAAGAGCGGATTCATTGTCCCGGAGCCAGCTAACGAGGGCTTCTCAGGGTTTATACACGCTGATATGCTTGATATAGCACCACAGCAGCATAAGAGCAATCACAGTCCTCTTGGAAAAGAGATCTGGAATATATGCTCATTACTAGATAACAGAAGCAACCCATAGGAGCTATCAACAAGTGGACTGTATAGTTTACCTCTTTCAACCTCCAAGAGCAATTGTACCGCACTAAAGTTCGGGTGCATGGGAGACGTTGCTTAAGCCGCGGCTAAGGTCCAGACCGAGAGGAACCGCACTGAGTTCCTGCGTAAGAAAGAAGCTGTCATGCTCTGGGACCATCCAGGTTATCCCTGCAGAAGAAAGGAGTCGTCAAACTATGGGATTACAGTAGGACATCTAGAAGGAGCCCGGAAGGCCCTAGTGCGCGGGATCCTCTGGTGGGTTTCCAGTTATGGACCCAACCCTACTGTATCATTAGAGCAGACATTACAAGTACATAACGATGGCAACTATGTCATAGTCATTCGAACAGTCAGGGTTGCAAAGCTCGGTACGGCCAAGCGAGTACCTCGGCTCAATACCGCATTCGTAGACTGTTGGTTACATTGGCCGCACTATGAGCTAGATTCAATGCACCGTTGCCACTGGGCTTTCCCAGAAGTTTATAGGGAAGTGACACTACCCATATCCCTTTGCTTGGGGTTGGGGTCGTATCAGCTTCATAGACGACACAATGATGACGTTCTCGTCTTTCTTGGTTTTCTCGATTTCTCCTTAGGTAACCCATGAGCAGCGAAACACAAATGAGCCACTGAGCCTCCTCCATCCTCAAACAAGACAAATTCCAATATAGGGGCCGCCTAGTCATGGTCAATGAGGGTTGATTCTGATGGAAGTGGTGGTGTGGTGTGGCTATATATTGTATATCTAGAAGCCATGATGTAGGAGGAGTGGATAGAGTATATAGGTATATTAAGGAATAGCTAGCACAGCTAGCTACTTTAAGAGTGAGTTAAGGTGATATATATCCCCCCCCCCCCCCTTTTTTTTTTTACTTGGGTGGCAGTCCAGGCAGCTAGGAATTAGAAGTATTACTTTCTCCCCCCTTTTCGTAGCTATAGTTATATGGCTTATGTTATCTTCCATCGAGGGATCTAGTAGGATCGATCTTAATTAATTATGTCATCTAAAATCAGTAAATAAACTTCTCTGTTACCTCTTGGAGAACCTCACCCACGGACGACCCTGCAAGAATAAGAACAACTGAAACTTTCACTCCAACCTCCCTGGAAAACCATCCACCCAACTGTGCCGCTACTATAGAGTCAACACCAAGTTCGTTGAACAGGGTGTCATCGGTGATCTCCACCGCAGACTGCAGCAGCGCCTGGAGATATCTGGTAAAGTGCTGGCTCAGGATACCTCGTACAGCCGTGACGGCAGACGCAGTTTGTTTGGCACGCTCGAGTTGAATGCTCAACGAAGTGTCCTCTGCGTCTGCTTTAACAACATGGTTTTCTTGCCTTGCTCTCCGTGACAAGGCAAGCATATTAGACATTGCCGGGTTGAACGAGTGGCTGGCTTCCCATACCTTATAGTCTGGACTGCAGGTATCAGGGCAGAGTCCAGCTGTAACCACACGAGATCTACTACCAACAGGATGTCCAGCCAGGATAGCCTCCGCAAGAATCTCCGATATGTCGTCCCCGTCTAAGGCATCAATACTCAATCCGGGCCCAAGGCAAAGTACACTTGCGGGAAGACCGGACATTGCTCTCTGATAAGCAAGTGCTGAGAGATATTCAGTTACGGCGTACTGTTGCGGATCTTGTTTGACCGGGTAGCGACCAACGCCCAAAAAGAAGTCTAGACTGGGGGAGTCATAGAACTGCGACAGGGCTTTGGCCCTCTCAATCGTGTTCGCTCGCGCCATATCAGGCGTGATGCCAGTGTCGAGTTCGCCGTTGAACACAACCCCCTGGACCGACGGCAACGTTGGATGGCTGCGGATCGCAAGCACAGTGTGTACAAGATCTTCTTTAGGGGGGACTGTGATGACTTCTGCGCCACCAGATGCAATAGCGGATACCCATTGGGCGTTTTCAGAGAGTGGTGCGACAAGAACTAAATGCTGCGCGCCATGGCAAACAAGCCATTCGGCGACAACCCTTCCCAGGGCTTCGGGAAGCCCCCAGAGAACGTAGGTGCTCTGTGGGGACAAAGACACCTCATCGCTCGCTGGGTGAATCTGTGCTCTGATCGGCGTCCCGTCGCCAGCTAGCCAATCAATCACAGTTGCTGGCCCTATATCAACTTCTCCAGAAAGTAATTTGGTCACAGAGCATACTGGGAAAGTGGTGTCCTTCGGGTAAAACCACCCAGATACACTCTCTAGGGCAGTAGGTATACTGGACGCAGGAACATGTGTTTGTGAATGTGTCGTCGCTGGGGCCTGATAGAATGAACCGATATCAAAATGCCGAGTACTCGGAAACAAGCTGCAGATACGATTCTGCCCGTTGTCATTGTTGGCATGATGGAAAACAACCGCCCCCACTTTAGATACTGGGAGCATTTGCCTTAGTCGATGAGTAGGCGTACGCTCAGGGATATAAATCACACCCTGTTTCTTGGCTTTGGCGGATACCTTGTGAGTGATGGCTAGTATCTCGATCTTATGCAAGGGTGCGAGGGAATTTAGGATGTGGAGGCAGGTAACATCAGGTTCCAAAACCAATATTACAGAACCAGGTTCTGTCTGAGATAAGATGCCTTTTGCGATCAACATACCCAATGTATTCGCAAGGAAACCAGGTTCTTCTGCGGCAGAAACAGACGGCGGTACGACCCAACACCATGAAGGGGGAGTATGTACCCGCATCGCATTGCGCTCAGAGAGTGCGAGGACGCGGCAGCAGTCACCCTTTCCTGCCAGAGGATGTTCAGAGTTGTTATGGCTGGAAGCTAATCCTATCGAGAGATAGCAAACCCCAACCCCTTCAATCTTGATACTGTGTGCTGTTGAGAAATGAACCTTGACTTCGACTGTGGTCGTGGAGATACCAGGTAGAGGTCGGGTGGACTGGTATGCATGGAGGCGAGCAGTCTGCTCCTCAACAGTTTCGACATGTTCGAGTTGCAGGACAGAATATTGCTTGTCCCGGTTGAGTAAAACAACGTCTTCAACTTGAAGGTGGGCAGCCAGGCGCCGCTGATTCATACGTTCGGAATATGTATGGCGCGGCACATACAGAACCCCTTTCTCAGACAGTCGCAGCTGGGACTCTAGAGGCGGACCAGTATTTATCCTTGAACTCTCTCGAGGATCAGTACGGACGAGCTGCATCAGGAGCGTCGTCACAGTACTAACATTTTCCTTGGAGGCCGAACTGGATGGGAGCTCGAGGTACTGGAACATTGTGTCTGGATGCTCCATTGAGAGACCACAGAGAAGGCCTGCTGTAACGGCTTTGGAGAGGGAGACGGGCATTCCAGCGTCAGAGCAGGAGGAAACCCAAAGTAGTTTGCTCGCGCCAGCGAACAATCGTCGTAATATTCTCGTCTCATCTCCGGGGCTCGAACAAGCTCTTGGTTTTAAAGAGTCCGTAATGACAACCACCACCGGCGCAGGACTCCCCTTCGTAAATTCAATCTTGCTGAAATGCTCGACTAGCACCATATGTCGAAAGCTTTCATGAACAGCGAGCCAAGTTCGATCCATCCACGTACTCCGCGTCGCTGCAATCACCAAATCGGGATGCTCGTTCCATGAGAACGAAAGGTTTCGCATGAGGTGAGCCGTGGGATCACCTGCCTGGCATACCATGATCGAGAGGCCGGATATTGCCTCGTCATGAATTGGGGTTATGCTATCAATTCCACTAAAACCGTGATCGATGAGGAGATCGTTCCATGCCTCGCGGGTGCGGACAGGCCCATGAGGTGGGTGTTCTGCGTCGTTATCTTGCCAAGCGCTTAAAGGGAGTAGGAGATTTCGGTGAATCAAGTGGGGATTGGTGTCTTCAAGCACGAGGAAGTAACCCCCTTTTTTGAGGAGGCGGCGAAGCATTGTGAGGGTGTTGGTTAAGGACTTTGTGTAGTAGAGGGCTTGATGTACAATGACGAGATCGACGGAACCTGGTTCAAATGACTGGTCTTCCAGATTTTGTTCCTGGATAAATGGTTGTGCAGGTGGCTTCGTGCTCGTTGCTATCATCGACCTGTTGACGACTGCCCGTGTGTAGGTTTTGTAGCCAGTCCCAATCTCCCTCAGCACGCGGCTTGTCACTCGATCCGTTCCACTACTTGTCACCTCCAGAATATTCATCTCAGGATAAAGCGCTGCCAACTGTCCTACCAGCGACACGAATCGGTCATACCATGGGGCGAAGTCCTGCAAATTCGCGGCGTAGTACTGGTCCAGAAGCTCAACAGAAGGAGCTTGAGTCTCGCAATCAGAGTCAAACAGACTTTTCCACCCCTCGCCAATCATTGCAAGAGGGCTAAGTGCAGGTGCGCAGATATTCTCAAGATTTCTCTCCAACCAGTCCGGTCGACAGACGGGATCCGTCCCCCTCCTGACATGGATTAGGACATGGTCAGCCCAGTTTAAAAACGCAGCCTTTGCTCCCGATAGACCCTTCCGATGCTTCTGCACATGTTTCTCACATAGAGCTCGCAGATGCAGAAGAGCGAGCTGCTCACGACCCATCAGCGTACTGATGGCCCCCGGCCGGCATAACACTTTCCCGCCTGCTGCTGCGCTGGGTTGCAGAGGTATCCAGTCCATCCTGCTAAACAAACTAGGTAGGGTGGGGTTATTCGCGGTTCGATTCAGGTGAAGTCCCTCGCAAGATACCACACACTCATCATTCGACCGGAAAATGTCTATCGCGCCGGTGATTTGGCCTGGAGCTTTGGTAAGGAGTGCGGCGTCAATGGTCAGGGTTTCACTGTCTGCTGGTCGCATAGTCGGGTTAATGGCCACATTGGAGATCTTTGAAATTCTGTACAGTGACTTGGTTACTTTGTCCACCATTCTGGAAATTGAGGCTGCTAAGAGTGTCTGAAATGCGTGATCGATCGTAGCGGGGTGGATGTGTAAGGCTGGCTGATTCTTGCTATCTGGATGGGTCATTGTGGCCGAGGCGGCTTTTCGGTTGCAAGAAAGGGTAGACAAACGTTTGAAATCACCAGCTCTGTCGTGGCCGAGAGCAGATAGATGGGAGTAGAATTCGCTGACATCCATCGGGTTGAGCGCTGCTGGTGGAAATCGTGCAGGCAGAGCTCGCGCGTCAGGCGCGCCGTAGATAGTTTTGAATCGACCGGAGGCCACGCGACAGAGCTCGCCATGAACTGCTGCTTGACAAGCAAATTTTCCTGTTGCGCAGGGTCCGTCTGATTCTACCTCCACAGCGAACAGTGTCTCAAGCCCGGCCTGGTCAGACGGGACAGGTACATCTTGGTAGATTTCAAGTTCATGAAGCTCGATTACTTGGACCGGAGATGCCCCTGCCCCCGCAATAGCCGCTTCAACCATCATGGCGACATACGTTGCCGGTGAAAGAACGGACTTTTCATTCAGTCTATATCCATGTATCCAAGGAAGCTCCTCAGGACGTAAGTAGTTCCTCCAACGGCGCTCTCCCTGGCCAGAAGTCGGAAGCACTCCACCTAACAATGCATTGGGTGGATTGCGACCATGTAAACGAGCTCGGGATAATCTCGACTCGGCCCAGTAGGTCTGGCTATGGTCAAAGGGGTAACGTGGCAGGCCCTTTACCACAGCTCCCGAAGCATTGGTATTGAATGCGTTGACATATGCCTGTACATCAAGCCCCCCAGGACCAAAAACAGTCCACAGCTCCCCAATCGCGGCGGCAAACGATTGAATGCCCGGTTGGGCTCTCTTTGCCAGGCATAAGTACGGCAGATCTGTTGGTCTTGGCATCTCCTCGAGGATCTGGTTCACTGGCCCACGCATCACAGGATGTGGACCAACCTCAATGACACAGTCATATTTGGTCTCTAGAGATTGGAGCGCAACAGCAACGGCTTGCGAGAAAGAAACCGACTTCAGCATATTGGCTACCCAGTATTCGTTTGCTTTATCACCACGCGTGACACTAAGGTCCACCCCGGGGTACACGGTTGAGAACCAGCGCACCGGCGAGCTCGGCTTCCTTGGTTGAATTTTGCAAGCTTCCATCGCCCGCCTGTACACCTCCGCGCTCAACTGCATATGGTGCGAATGGTACGCAGTATCAACATGGAGAGGGTGCACGGCTTGCCCCAAACTAGACAGCAACCAGACTAGTTCGTCGATGGCCTCACGGTCGCCGGACAGCGTCACACTTGTAGGGGAGTTGTAGGCTGCAATTTGAATCTTTCCAGCATATTGAGGGAGGCTGGAGATTGCCTCTGCTTGTTTCCAATTGAGCATCACGGCGATCATGCTCCCGGGTTTCTGTTGGTGCTGAGACTGTTGGATCGCCCAACCTCGTAGATAGGCAACCCGGATCGTGTCTGCGAGGTCCAGCATTCCAGCCGCGTACGCGGCGGCGATCTCGCCAGAGGAGTGGCCGATCACGCTATCAAATTGGAGCCCAAGGTTACGAAGGAGGTTAGTTTGGACAATCTGAATGGCCGTGCGGAGGGGTTGTGAGACGCTAGCTTCATGAATTCGTGAGTCTTCGTCGGGGGCTGCCAGTTCAGTCATGAGGTCGAAGTTGGGCCGGTATTGCAGAGGTAGCGAATTGAGGGCTTGCTGCATATCGGCCATCCACTTCTGGGCCCGCGGACTTGTCTTGATGAGATCGAGGCCCATCTGCGGCCACTGTGCCCCCTGGCCAGTAAATATGCCCAGGATACGGGAGTTAAGCTGAGACTGCACATGGCGACGAAGGTTGGCGGGCATATGGCCACCGGACCGGCGGAATATCTCCTGTGTAATTTGGTCTCTGAGCTCGTCTGCTGAGGTGGTGGCAAACATCACGCGGTATTTATGACATGAACGCCGTGTCATCAGGGTCAAAGCAAGGTCCGTGAGGTTGATCGTTGGGTTGTCATCGAGAAATTGGAGGAGATCCTTCAGCACCATTCCTAATGAGAGTTCAGAGGCTGCCGAAACAGCAAAAGGGAGAAGGCAAGCGCCCACTTCATCTTCTCTGCGGCGCCGAGTTGAGGATGGTAGAGCATAGCTTTCGAGAATGGCATGGACATTAGCACCGCCAAAGCCAAATGAATTCACTGATGCGCGGCGAGGTACCCCGGGTGGCAGGCTCGGCCATGGGACACGTTCATTTGGCACTCGCAGTCGAGATAGATAAGGTACGATCCGAGGGTTGGGCGAGGAGAGCAGCAGGTTCGGAGCAATCTCCCCATGCTGCAAACACAATGACGCCTTGATCAGCCCAGCCAAGCCAGCTGTCGCTTCTGTATGACCAATCACAGTCTTGATCGAACCAACATGCAGGACTTGAGAGTCTTCCGGTGCGGCATCCCCAAAGAAAGCCCCATAAATAGCACTGGCTTCCTGGGGGTCTCCTGCCTGCGTCCCGGTCCCGTGCGCCTCAAAATATTGACATCTGTGCTGGGCATTCTTTGGGTCAAGACCGATACTGGCGTAAGTCGACTCGATCAGGTGCTGCTGTGCTTCTCCGTTCGGCATCGTGATACCCATTGTCCGACCGTCGCTGTTCACTCCTGTAGCCCGAATCACACACTCAATCTCGTCCCCGGTAGCAATAGCATCGCTCAGTCGTTTTAGAACCACCGAGGCAACCCCCTCTCCTCGCGCGTAGCCATCGGCGGATGCATCCCACATCTGCGACCGGCCTGTAGCAGATAGCATCCCTGTTTTTGCATCGGCTATATAGGGATTTGGAGATAGAATTAGATTACTTCCCACCGCGACGGCCATCGCACAGTCACCTTTTCTTAATGCCTCGACAGCCAGATGAACAGCCAGCAAGCTGGAGGAGCATCCGGTATCCACAGAGAATGATGGCCCAGTCCAGTTGAAAAAGTATGAGATTCGGTTTGCCATGATCGCGGGTGAGTTTCCGGTGACCGTGTACGGAGGAATCGAATCTGGATCTGCAAATTGTATCTGGCTGTAATCGGTACGGAGGAAGCCACAGTAGACCCCCGTAGGTGATCCCTGTAAGAGATCGAGTCTATGCCCGCCGGCATCGAGGGAATCATAAACAGTCTCTAGAAGCAGGCGTTGTTGCGGATCCAGGGCAGCTGCTTCCGCTGGGGAGATGTTGAAGAAAGGAGCGTCAAAGGCTCGTATATCTTCCTCTATGAAATACGACTCGGTCACGCTTGTTGCGCCGTGCTGTTGACTGTTTGGATGGTAAAATGCATCCACGTTGAATCGGCCACTGGGAACTTTGGAGGCGACATTTCGCGGATTCCGAATAAGATCCCAGAGACGAGCCGGTGAGGAGGAAGATCCAGGAAAGCGACATCCTGTTCCGACAATGGCTATGGGTTCGAGAGACATTAGGAAAAAGCGATGTAGACTGACAGAATCAGACAGACGACGAGAGACTGACCCATCAATATTAACTGGCTTGGGTGCCCACTTCGGCTAAGTCGATCTCCTTGGGCATCCACGATTTAGGACGTGTTATGCAAGGGTTTTATCTTCTTGGAAAGTCCAGACTTTTATCTCAAATATTGTGCGCTATGTATCTGAGAATTGTAAACCCAACCAACCTTACACATCCTTCCCCTTGCTCCACTAGTAGTTTCTCCCCACTTCAAATGATGCACAATGTACTTTGCTCGCTTCGACAGCCAGTTGTCTTTGTACGTTATTGGGGAATACTGCGACTGCGGCACTGGTATCTGTATCGCCATCGCCACCAGGTTTCACTGGGCTCTCGCTTCAAGAAAGCGCTGAGAAGCAAGAACAGATTTGAGACGACAATTAAAGCTTTGCAAGAAAATATACCCGTCACGACCCCAGCGGGAGTTTGTCTTGGGTATTGAACAGTCCATCAAGCCTCCCTCTCCTACTTGCAGTCATCTCTACAGCCCCCTAAATACAACCTCCAAAACACAAGCCACCATTGTCCAGAGCCCCATCACCACATTACTACGAAAGACATAATGCCCGCTTCTTGGATCCTTCGCATCGAATCTCCTCATCTGGTCCACACACCCAATGATCCAGACTCCCATCCAAGAGACCCATAACCAAACTGAACCCAAAGGGTATAGTGCCCAACACAGTGCACCCGCCACTATCGTTGCTAGAGCCACAAGTACGCCATGAATGTGTTGTCCCGCAAGCGTGTAAAGTGAGTTCACACCCAGCTTCTTGTCGTCGACGATATCTTGGTAACTGTAGGCGGTATTGAAGTAGAGAGTCCATGTGAAGACAACTAGGCAAAGCGGCAGACTGGACCTTACAAGTGCAGTGAAGGAGTCTAGATGGGGGTAGATCGAGGCGCGGCCAAAGAGGACCGGACAAGATGCTGTCAGACCGAGAACGTATTGGGGATAAATACCAATTCGGTGAGCGAGCGGCCTTTTGCAGTATGGATATATCAAGGTTCCCAACGTAGGGGGAATTATGGAGTGCAACCTACAGTCACGCACAGTCAGTCAAGCTTGGTAAGAGGAGAGGGGGGACTGCTGTGATTACGAACACATATCGTCCATCCATCATCCAATACAAGAACGTCGTGGCTATGCCAGCTTGAAACAGCATCCAGACCATGGCTTCTTCAGTGCGGAGTCTGCCTGCAGCCAAGGGACGATCCTTGGTGCGTGCGACGCGAGCGTCGATGTCTCGATCAACCCAGTCATTCCACACCATGCCCGCCCCGGAAAAGATATATGCTGCCAAGGAACAGAAAAGAACCCGGCTAAGAATGAACTGGACGGAGATGTGGTTGGGGTCTTCGCGAAGTCGTGTACTTCCGGCAAGAAGCGTCGACCATACTGTGCCTTGTTAGGGCCGACTGGCAAAGGGGCTAAGGTGGTCAAACCTCCTGCAAAGAGGCAGAGAAATGAGTTATACTTATCATATCGCGAGATACGGATAAGGTCCCACGATATCTGGCGTAGGGACCGGCTTTGGGCTGTGGGAGAGCGAACCATTGTGGCGAAGCGTCGAAGCGGCTGTGACCAGCAAATCAATTGATGATAGACCAACCTCTTATATATGCATTCTTGGCAACGGTGAGTGCGTCCTTCGCTAACCAGCCCTTACACGCCCACATCATAAGTACCCACGACTGATGATGCCGCTTATGCAAGGGCGTCACCACGTCCACACCGCTGTTTCAGCAGAGACTTCGAAATCACCTAAATAGAAAGATGCCATGTCATATTCTCAGTGCCTAGCAAACCCTCAACGCCCGTGATCAAGATGCAGAGCCCATTCTCGGCCACGCTTTTCCTCACCATCCTCCTCCCTCTAGTCCTCACAATAGCCCTGAACCATCTCGCTCGTTTCTGGTTCCCTTCCGAACGTCGACCGAAGGACATCTCGTGGATAGGCCGCCGATCAGGATTGCTCAGCTCGTTCCGTGCTTGCCTTGGTCAATGGCGCTACAATCCAACCCTCCTCGAAGCCGGCTACGAAGCTTTCAATAAGACGGGCCGAGCCTTTCTCATGCCCCTCATTAGTTTCGAACCCATCGTCATTCTCCCCCAAGAGCACATAAAATGGATTATTGACCAACCGCCGACCGTGCTGTGCCCGCGTCGGGCCGCATACACCCGGATGGGAGTGCGTTACGTGGCGCCTGGCTTCACGCCTGCGATTAGCGAAATTTTGCACAGCGCGATCAAACTCCACCTAAACAAGAAATTTGACAACTTGAAGGCGGAGATGTATGATCAAATGAGCTGGGCCATCGATAGGAGCTTTGGTACTGCGGACTGTGTGAGTAAAGTGTCCCTAGCTCGCGCGTTGCGGTACACGGTCTACCATACGTTGGTTCCCGTGCTGGCGGGCCGTGAGCTAGCCAAGAATGAGCGCTTCGTAGAGGCCATCATATCGAGTTCACAGTGGTTTGGAGCAGCGTCAACGGTGGTCGGGCAATGTTTACCCCCGCCTGCCAGAGGTGTCATCGGATGGGTGCTGCAGAAGCCCATCGGGTATGTCCAACGGCGTTACCTTAGGTATCTGATGCCGATTGTGAGAGAAAGATTGAGGAGACTGCAGGAGGAAACAGAGGTACCGGAAGACATGGTCACTTGGTTGTGTCAGGTCATTCTCACGACTAGGGGCGCTGACGGTGCGGAGGAGATGTTTGCAGATGCCTTCAACTTGTTGGTATGCTTGTCCGCGAATTCCCCTTGCTCATCATGATTTAACAACCCAGCTTGGCGCTGCGTTTACAAGTACCGTGTTAACGGCCCACCACACCTTGCTTGACATACTCGGCTCAAGCACAAAGGACGACATTTACCAAACTCTTCGAAGCGAGGCTGAGGCGACGTTGGATAACCCGGCGAAATGGTCCGATCCAACTGCTATTCTCCAGTTGCACTACATAGATAGTACACTTCGAGAGAGTCTTCGGCGGGCACCGCCTACCTCCATGGCCCTTTTGCGCGAGGTCGTTCCCGGAGACGGGCTGATGCTGCCAAATGGTCAATTTCTTAACAAAGGCAGCTGGCTGGCCGTCCCTTCGATCCCCATCCACCGCGACAAGCAATTCTATGAGAGCCCAAGCGAGTTTAAGCCTTTCCGGTTCGTACAGGACGGGAAGCCGGCCTCCTGTGTATCAACAAGCGACACATTTCTGTCTTTTGGACACGGTCGTTCAGCCTGGTGAGTTTGGGTATCTCCCTTAATTTCCTGGCAAGTCTAACCGTATCCAGTGCTGGAAGACAGTTCGCAACTCGCATATTGAAAATGGTGATTGCGTACATTGTCGTACATTACGACATTGAAGCGATTGATGGACGGCCTGCCAACTTCTTTATGGGGGAACATGCAGTGCCGCCAGATGTGGTAGTGAGTGTGAGAAGAAGAATATAGTGTCAAACGGTGCATCAGTTTTGTTTGGTAGACTAGTAATCCCTAATTACAAAGACACCTCTTCCTTCCTCCTTCTCACAGCAACCCTAGCAACGGGGTCTGCACTCGTAATGGAACCAACAGTGAAGACCTTGGGCTGATCCACAAGTTTGATGTCGTATTTCATCAAAATGTGACAAAGCGCAAGCTTAGTCTCGGCGGCCGCGAAGAATCGGCCAGGACAGCCATGCGCCCCATGTCCAAATCCGATATGGTTGACGCTCGTCGCTACAAAATGTGCAGCATGCTGTTGGGTGGGCGTCTGGCGCATCTTGTAGAACCGGTAAGGGTCAAAATGCGCCGCGTTGGGGTAGACCTCTTCCTCCCAGTGATTGTGTTGTGAAATCATCAGCAAGTCTCCTTTTTCGATTGTGAGGCCGTCGTTGTCTCCAGGGTCACACGAAGGGAGGCAGATCTTCTCAGTCGCATAGCGCCGCATGTTTACTATATCATCAGCCTATTCACCTCGTGGTGTCAATACTAGTGACAGAAAGTCTCACCTAAACCTGTGGGCTTCAATCGCTGACTCTCTTTCATGACACTATCCATCAACATTAGCTGGTGCACTGCCCCCTTATTCCAAAACTCTCTTGCCCTTCCATCCGCTCGGACGTCAATAATCTCCTTCCTCAGCTCCTCTACTAGCCCCGGTCTCGCCACTATATCGTATAACACTTGCGTAAAAAAATCCGAGGTGTTATGCATGGCCGATAGTGCCAGGGTGAGCTGTATTACGGCTGGATCGTATTTGCGTCCGCGTGCACATTCTTCCGCCCAGGTGATTGTATCCAGGTAAATTGGTGGCTCGAGGCCCTCGGCTATGCATCGCTCTCTTTCCGCTCTTCGCGCTATGATAATGGGTTCAATGAGCGTCCGGGCTTTGGCTATCTCACCACGAAGCAATTTACATGCGGGGAGAAACCACCCAACCAGCGGACGGAGGAGTGATGGGTACACGCGAAGCTCGCGCACGGCGCTGAATGCATGAAGAGTTATGCTGCGTGACAGGGCGAGCCAGGTTGGATTGTGGGAAAAGCTGCGGCCAAGGAAGATGCGTGCAGATTGCTGGGAGATCATGTCAAGGATGGTGGACTTGACGCTGATTTCGTGCCATTCTAACGATAAGTAAGCAACGGAAGGCCAATTGAGGAAGGGTACCAAAGAGCTATCGCACCTGGATTATCTGTCCAGCTCTGCTGTAAGGCATCACTCGCTTCCTCGGATAGAGGCCCAATTAAATCAGCCAATTGATGCGTTAGTTTCTGACGAATGATGTAGCTCATAATCTCTTTTCCCACTTGATCCATCTCAAAGACGTTCAGGCCAGCGACGTTGGGGAGCATTGTCTACGAATCAAGGTCAGTCCGGAGAAGAGATTAGACTAGTTGCTCTACCTACGTGGACCCTGTAAGCGTGAAAGTCAAATCTCTTATCGTTTCGTATGGCGTGAGCATATTTCGGTGCGAGGATCAGCTCGATCCCATTCTCGGTGACAACGTAGAACCCATTTTTGGACTGTGTTGCTGTGAACTCTCGCTAACATGTAGCAGACGGGAGACCAACCTTTTCGAATCCAGCTTGTATGATTTTCTTCGCGTTTGCGTAGTATCGCTGCTTCGCCTTGGTGAAAAAAAATTCCCAGCGCTTGGGCCCGTTTACAAGAGGTAGTTGAGGTGTAGATGGGCGGGAGATAGTTAAGGAAAGAACGATAGCAATCAAAAACGATGCGATAATAATTGTTGTGGTCTGCTCAACATCTCTGAGGGATGTAAATATGGTGGAAATCATGATATCTTGTCTGTCCGGCGTATACTCTGGTCGCGCAGCAGGCAGTCTGAAATTGCAACCGGGGAGCAGTCGACTGGCTATTAGCAGATCTCTGGGTATCGGTATAAGATGGCGCCTCGATAACAGACAGGTATCGTCGAAAAACCCAATACTAAAGCAAGGGGGATAGTCTACGGCAAGTCATTGAAACAAAACCAAAAGAATATAAATCAATGTTTATATACACCGCTAGAAGTTCCACCTAAGTAGAATCACATTTCCATACCATTTGGTATCCCTACTATATGATGACACGATGATTTAGGATAGTTTAATATAGTAATTTAATATCCCTACTGTATAACGATTTAGTTAATATCTAGTGGTTACTAAGATACAAGGGAATAGTCATCTCTATCAGGGGTTAGTTATAAAGATAGTACAGAGAGACATATGTATACAAAGTTACAACCTTTGACAACTACCATATTTTAATAAATGTTTAACCTCCCCACCCTTCCTTAGATATTAAACCAATAGCCTAGATACAGACTAATTTGATAATTACCATATATTTCATATAAAAAAATGGATTTTCTATGGTATATTAAGCAATAGGGATATTATTATAATAATCCCATGTGCCTAAGAGAACAGAGATTAAAATTTGAAAAAGTTAGGTGCTTATTGCTGGCTGAAAAATTGTAAAATCCCATTTTTCTAATCATTGATTTATGTTGTTCTATTTTGGGTTTGTTCCAATGGCTTGCCGTACTAATCCATCTACGTGGTTTCTAGCTCAGAGCGGATGAACCACCCCCTTGCTGCCGCGAAAAGGAATAGAAATTGTCCTGTCCGGCTGGCCAAAGCCAAAGATGGAGTGGCCAGTGGCCCCAATAATCTTGTCGAAGAGTCTGCGTTTGCTCGGTTCGTGTTTCTCTAGGTGCAATCCTCGTCCGTTCGTGCAAAGAAGAAATGACTATTACGATGGGCTGTCTCCAGAATCGCGTGAGTACTGCGCTACTAACCACCGCACGACGGTAAACTAACCCTCAGTGCAGGTCGCAATAATCACTGGTGCCTCGTCAGGAATAGGGCTAGCTGCCGCAGTAGCTGCCCTAGAAGCTGGGGCCAGTGTCTTCGCCGTCGACATATCGCCCTTTCCAGCCGCTCTTGACGCCAGTGACAAGTGTCGGACACTGCAATGCGACCTTACAGGCCCTGACGCGCCAAGGAAGATTGTTGAAGCCTGTACCTCTGCCTTCGATGGCCGTATTGACATTCTGATGAATATTGCTGGCGTAATCGACCATAATGCTAGCGTGGACGCCGTCACGGACGCAGACTGGGATCGGTGTCTGGCTGTCAACCTTACGGCGCCGGTAAAACTGATGAGAGAGGTTATCGGAGTTATGAGGAATCAGAAGTCCGGGGTTATTATAAACATGGCGAGCCGGGCTGGAATGAGTGGTGCCGCGGCAGGCGTAGCCTATACGGCGAGTGCGTTTCTCTTCGCTCCATTGAACACAGTTCAAGGCCGGCTCTAATATGGGCTCTAATATGGAATAGGTAAGCATGGTCTTATCGGAGCGACGAAGAACGTCGCTTGGAGATTCAAAGGGGAGAATATCCGGTGCAACGTGCTGTGTCCGGGGGGTATGATATTCCTTTCTTTTCCAGGGCGCGTGGATTCACAGTTCGTCTGACTATCAGCAGGCGTCGCAACCGGGATACTAAATAGTGTTGATCCAGCTAGGTTTGACCAGGAAGCCACATCAATGCTCAAGCCTATCTTTTCCGCCGTGTACGCAAACCGGGCAGATGGATATGGGGTCATGATGCCGGGCGAAGTAGCGTCTACTATTGTGTTTTTGTGCTCCGATGAGGCTTCTCGAATCAACGGAGCTGTCCTTCCCATTGACGATGGCTGGTCTACTATATAATCACACTACTCTGTTGGACTTCACGACCCCTCCCTGCAAGTTACACAATGAGAATATGAACTGTCCTGTTTGATCTCCAGTACATCCAGGAACTCGGCGACACCTTTGCCCTCCGAGGCGCCAGTCCCAGTCGTAGGGCGCGCAATTTCCTGGAGCATCAACCTCACCTCTGTGGCCAGTTCTGCTATCCTTGCGCGGCAGTATGCAAAGCTCCCCGCAGCTTCCATAATACTTATCGCGTATCTCTTGACAGTCACGTCTTCCGTCTTCTGCTTGAGGATGTTGAGGAGCTGTAGGCTCTGCGCGCCATACCGGATTGCATGAATTATAGGAAACGAGAACTTGCCCTCCGTCAAATCCTCCCCGAATCCCTTATTCTGAATGTACGTCCCGCTCTGTAGATTCTGGTAGTCATCGCGAATCTGAAAGATGACGCCCATCAAGTCGACAAGAGGGACGTAGTCGCTGTTCGCTCCAATTAGCCGGTCCAGAGTCTTTGTCCTTAGCGAGTGGGGCACTCACTGTTTGCTATTGCTCGAACACTGCATCAGCTTAATTGCGAGCCGAAACAGCCCTCCCGTTTTATCAGCCACCATTTCGAGATATTCTTCTTCGGACGGGCATGTCAGGGTGTCCCGCCAGTACAGGTCCATCCCCTGACCACGGTGCAGCCGAAGAAGTTCCTCTGTGAATATCTGAATTGCGCGGGGGTCATTCAGCTTGTGTAGCTCATGTTGGGCTTCGAAATATGCACTGTTTGCTGAGTTGATCGTCTGTGCAATTCCAAAGATACTGTGAGCGACCGGTTGACCCCGCCGGAGCTTGGAGGAGTCCTGAATGTCATCAATCCTGCAAAAGTCAGACACCTCGGCATGTCACGAGCTACGAAGATGCTTACAGTAGTGAGGCAGTGTGCAAGAGCTCGATCACTCGTCGGATAAGATCGAGTTTGTCCGGTGAGACGTTGAGCCATTCGTTGAAAGCCTCGATCAGGCGGCTGCGGAGGTCTTTTCCCGGTAGAGACAAGAGGTAGTCTATAGGGGCTGCTATGATCTATCTTTCCTTAGTTTGATACTGTGAGAACAACGGAGGATTTGGTTTGGGCACCTGTTCCGGGCTCAATTTTGCACTCTGTCGAGTGTCGCCCTCAACGGCCGGAACTAGAGGCGTGGTGATGCTTGGAGCCATCTTGAGGGCGAAATTGAGAGAAAATTCACCACTGGCGTGTTCAGAATTTATCACGATAATCTATCGATATGATGGGTCATACTTGGCATTGGATACAGCCATAGTCTGTCGCACACCGAAGCCGGAGCGCACCTTGCAAGGGGGCTCAAAAGCAAAAACGCTGCATATTACCTTGCAACAGAGCTGTCGATGCAAGGGTCTGGCTCCCTCACATCCAGAGAGGCTTCTTCGTAAGTATCCCTAATTTAATCACGCTGGGGTTCCTATAATTTGAGGATCAAGCGATTACCCTCCGGCAACTACCAAAGCAATAATGGACTCATTAGACTTCACCAAAGCCCCCCAATCCTTCCAATCGGTCAAATGGATCTCTGACGCACTTCTTTTTGCTATGGCAGCAGGCTGGCTGACGTGTTATATCGCCACGATCCGCACCGCTCGCCGCGATGATGCCTGTTGGGTACCGATCGTCCCTGTATCCTGCAACCTCGCCTGGGAGCTCGTCTACGCCATTCTCTACCCACCGCCGCGCCTCCAGATAGTCACTGCTTGGTTTACACTAAACCTTGTTGTAGTATCTACCGCTCTCAAATACAGCCCTGAATCACGGGGGAATTCGCCTCTGCGCGGGTATCGGTTACATGTCTGCTTCGTCATTGTTACAGCTCTTTGGGCTGCTGGACATGTCTGCCTTGCAAAGGTCGTGGGCCCTCTGACAGCATTTTACTATGGCGGGCTGGCTTGTCAAATCATGACTAGTGCGACGGCGCTGTGTGGGCTCGTGAGATCGTGGCGATCGAGTGGCGCGAGTTGGCTCATCTGGTAGGTTCTCTCCCCCATTCAAATACCTTCTTTGTCCTTGTTCTAACTGAGTGGTAGGGCGTCTCGCGTTATTGGTACGGGCAGTGCCATTGCTGGAGTCTTTTTCCGTGCACACTACTGGCCAGATCTGTGGGCATGGACGATGAATCCGCTGATTTACTGGGCGGCTGCGGCGTTTGCTATCTTTGATGGGGCGTACGCCTTCTGTTTCTGGTCTGTCAGACAGGCTGAAGTAAGGGCTGGTTTCAAGGAAGAATGACTTGGTTACATCCAATGTGGCGTCTTATTGAAGCAAGGGATGAACTGGCGGTGACTCGAACTGAAAACTAATTGAAGGGGATGCAATGGACGATTCTACGCGCGTGGACTAGATCTGACGTAAAGTCTGCCCCCGTATAGTGCAGAGAGCGTTACATCTAAGTTACTATATGCCCCGAATTCTCATCACTGTATGGCTAGTTATACTGAATGTTCTAATGGCCGGAAAGCCTGCGAGAGACGAGCTAAGAATCCTAATAATTGGCGGCTCCATCGCCGGCTTAACGCTCGCCCATGCTCTATCTGCGCTAAACATCTCCCTCCAAGACAATCCCAGTGCCAAAACAGTGATAAAATACACGGTGCTTGAGAAGCGTTCGTCATTTACTCCTCAAGAAGGCGCCTCTATCGGAATCCTCCCTCATGGCGGCCGGATCCTTGACCAACTAGGCCTCTTTCAGAGCGTTCAGGATGAAATCGAGCCCCTACACAAAGCACATCTTCGCTTTCCGGGCAAAAATGGGTATGTTGCAACAAATGAGTCTCCACGGGTCGTGGGCGATAGGTTTGGGTTGCCGTTTGCCTTTTTGGAAAGGAGGACCTTGCTCTGTATTCTTACAGAGGGACTCGGGATTGGCGGACGGGCTGAGCAACCGGGAAAAGTGACGAGAAAAGGAGGAGAAGGAAGTCACGTTCTCTGTGACAAGGAGGTTGTGCGGATTGAGTTTGTCAAGGATAAAGGAGACGAACAAGAAGCGGTCTTGGTTAGAACGAAGGATGGAGGGCTTTATAAAGGGGATCTGGTGGTGGGTTGTGATGGGGTGCATAGCATTGTGCGCAGAGAAATGTGGAGGATCTCTGCCGAGGAGGGACAGAGCATAGAACCAGGAGAGAAGAAAGGTCTGTAGCACATCCTCCTTGAAAAACGCAGAAAGCGGCTCAAAAGTTTGACAGGCCTCTCAGCGGAGTATGCGTGCATTTACGGGATTTCCTCTGCCGTGCCCGGATTTGAGGCGGGCGAGCACGTTGCCAGCCTCAACAACAAGCGGTCTTTCTTGACTTTCCCAGGAAGCCACGATCGGACGTTTTGGTTTCTGATCTGGAAGCTTGACCGGAAATATGTCTATACCGATGGCGATATGCCTCGTTTCACAGCAGCCGATACGGCATCCGTGGTCGAGAGATACGCGGAGGACATTATCTGGGGCGAGGTGACGTTTCGCGACCTCTGGGATCGGAGAACAAGACATAACATGACAGTCCTCGAGGAAAACGTCTTTGGTACTTGGCACCACAAGCGCATAGTATGCATTGGAGACAGTATACACAAGGTACGTGACATCCATCGTCTATCCCCAAGTCGCAGCTTAGAGAAGGCAGATGGCCCCCAACACCGGACAAGGTGCCAATTGCGCCATCGAAGACGCCGCTAGCCTTGCGAATCTACTCCACGAGTTTCTCATCTCCGGCCAGGTCGGGAAACCAAGCACGGAGCAGCTTGATGAGCGGTTGAGGCAGTATACAGTTGAGCGAAATGGGCGTGTGGACAAAATATACAGCGTGGCGCGGACGGTCGTCCGTTTACATGCTCGCGATACTTTCTACCTGCGATTCTTCGGCAGGTATGTGCTGCCATACTCCGGCGATATGCCAGCCAGGGCTGCGTCAAAGGCTATCAAGGGGGCTCCAAAATTGGACTTTATACCTGTATCAGCCAGGGTCGCCAACGGGTGGAATGAAGATGGTACGGGTGGTGGAAGTATCATGTTACGCGTTGTTCTCGGATTGATACTTGTACTGGGAGCAAGTTGGACATGGAAAATAGTCGATAATCCACTCAGCTAGCTGCACAATAAGTGGACGAGAGCTGTTCCTAATTACCTTGCCCTTTCCCTTCTGCGCAGCCGACAGAGCAACGGCCCCTTGTCCCATAAACCATACGTCTTCTGTACATGCCAGTTTTCACTCTCAGGGCACAGCTCCAGGTCGAATTCCCAAAGCACTCTCGCAAGGGCCGTTCGCATTATTGCGTATGCTAGGTTCTTGCCAATGCAGTTGCGTGGCCCGGCCGAGAAGGGTTGGAATACCTCGCGGTTGTCGTTGTAGAAGGGCGACGCTGGGTTATTGGTCACTTCTGGATCCCAACGTTGCGGGAGGAAGCAATCGGGGCGGTGGAAGTTGAATGGCGAGGTGTAGGCTGCGAATTGGTGGAGGCCGACCTGGATCTGCTTTCTGTTAGTTGAGGAAATTGTTGCCTATAATGTTTGGACTCACGTTAGGAGGGATGGTAAACCCCAAGAGGGTAATCGGGGATACTGTAACGCGCTGCAAACCACCGGGCACGGAGGGATAGAGTCGCAATGCCTCGTTAAGACATGCTGTTAGAAGAGGTAACTTTGCGGCAACGGCATGGAAGGTTATATCAGCTGGGGTAGTGATCGCATCTCGCAACTCATCCCGGACACGAAGAAGGACCTCAGGTGTCCGTAATAGCCAGTATGTCACCGCGCATAGCAGATCGGCTGGAGTCTCGCTACCTGCGATGATGATGACGCTGGCATTGGCCTCAATTTCCATCTTCGACATCTCGTTCTTTGTCCCCTGCTGGCGCATAATGGAGTCCACGAAGTCCGGGCGGCCTTGAACGCTCGATGAAACCGAGTGGATGCGTTTGTGAACTAACGCCCGACTATACTGCATTTGTTCCATAATCGCCTGGGATGACGTCGACATGAAAGCGAACGCGGTGCGGAAGATGACTGGGTACGCGTCCATCGCTTTGAAGAAGGGAATTAGACGCGTGTACCTGGTCATAAAGGCGACCCAGGGATGATAGCGCCCGTTGTCGAGACCACCAAAGTGCTCGCCAAATGCCAAATCACCTATTATGTCGAAGGTGGTGAGTCGATACCAGGTAACCAGATCAGCGGGCTGGCGTGCATCTGCAGAAGACTGGAGCTGTGCGATAAGCTTGTCGATATGACCCTGAATCAAGGGCTCTTGTTCGCGAGCACCTTTGATAGAGAACCCGTGGGCGAGCGCCTTACGGTATCTGGCGTGATCTCTATCGTTCGCATTGATGATATCTGCGGTGTTGCTGTTTGAGAACTTGGACTTGGGGAGGGAGTGGCGGCGGTCATGGCGGCCATAGATCTCATTCCACGCTTCAGAGGTGATGAATGAGACCTCATCGGCTGAAAACCGCACAACCGGGCCGTATCGTTCGTGCCATCGCTTGATGTCGAGATCCACGTTGCCTCGGACGGCTGATATGTGGCGCAGCAAAGGGAACGCAATCCATGGCCAGTGGCAAGGGACGCGACGCATAGGGTGGAAGTATAGGTTGCGAAGGGCTGTCCCAACGACGTATGACACCGCGAGCACGGCACAGAGCACAAGGGCTATCATCTTGCTGCTAATGAGCGGTTACCGTGCCTCTCCAACGCTCACCGCGATCTCATATGCATTATATGTCTTTTCCCACCCCTCCTTCCTCGCCCCTTGCATAGGATTGATACCACCCTCCAGAGCTTGACACACCGCTATTCAATACAGGACTTGTTGAGATTCAACTTATAGACACTGTATCCTTTTACAGAACTTCAGGAATATCTTACCTGAATGAAGTATATGGGAAGTTATCCGCCACAATGACAGTCTCACCTCGTCCTACCACCGTCCGCACTGTCGACGCCTCGACGTCTTCAGAGGAAATAAGCCAACTCATAGCGAGTGAAGGTGCCGTCATCGTGCGCCAATTTATCACCGACTCCGTCGTTACTGCTCTCAATGAAGAAGTTGAGCCCTACCTCAGTGCCACCATTACCGGCCCTCTAGCGAGCACTGGGGAACTGTACAAGAAGACCGTCGGTTCTCGCACGAAGCACATGGGAAATCTAGCCAGAATCTCATCTACATACCGCACCATTATCCTGAACCACCCCTTGATGCATGCCGTCTCTGACTCTTTCTTTACCGCGCCATTCGGTGACTATTGGGTGAATCGTGGCGCTGTGCTCCAAGTCGAACCGGGAGAGAAGGCCCAAGGTCTCCACCGCGACGACAGTCTATATGGGATTACGCGGTATCTTGGTCCGGGTGCGCCAGAGCTCATGGTTAACTTCTTTATCGCTCTTACCGAGTTCCGGGAGGACAACGGTGCGACGAGGTTGATTCCTGGGAGTCATCGGTGGAGCGAGGGGGAGCTTGCAGGTGCAGTGCCTGAGAATACCGTCGGTGCTTTGATGCAGCCAGGTGATGCCGTGCTGTATTTAGGAAGCGTGTGGCATGGCGCTGGAGAGAATCAATCAACGGAGAACCGGCGCGGGTTGAGTGTGACTATGCATCCAGCGCACTTCACACCCATGGAGGCCCACGTCGACCTGCCCAGAGATGTTCTGGAAGGAATGACGCCGCTCGCGCAGAAGATGGTTGGGTGGCGGAGTTGGTGTGGGTATCATGGAGTGCCGGTGTGGACGGTGAGGGATCGCAGAATGGAGGATGAGCTGGCCTTGAAGTCGGCATGATTGAGCCCCTTGCAGCCCGGTGCTTTTCGCTACATATATAGTTCACAGCACTGGCTAGTCCTTTGTCATGAACCACCTTCACAGACACGGAATATCATGGAGTTGTTCTACACCAATCCCTGGCTCCAGGAGTCGAGTTCCCTTGTGAAATTGAGTCTTATTGCGCTTAGCATTGTAATAGGGTATAGACTGCAGAAGGTGATCTTCTCCCCTCACTTGCAAGCTCCATTTGTAGGCTTTCGCTCTCGCTGGGAACCGCGCTGGCTTGTCGGCCTTCGGTTCTCGAAGGACGCCCTCCATCATATCCAGCAGGGATGTCGACAATACAAAAATGGCATGTTCAGGATAGCGCGCGTTGACACCGACATCCTGGCCATTCCCACCCGTTTTGTCGACGAACTACACTCCAAGCCAGATGAGCAGCTCAGTGCGATCAAGGCACATATGAAGGTATCCCTCATATTTCCCTCTGTCCACATTGTTCATTGACCTTTCGGTCTGGATTAGAACCTTCTCGGCAGGTATTCGACCATCGACATCCTGGATGAGGGAATCCTACACACCTACGTTTTGCAGACTGAACTGACCCCCCGTCTTGGGAATCTTATTCACATTGTCAAATCCGAACTGGACTTTGCACTCGCGCGTGAGCTGCCCAGCAATCTCACCGTCGACGACTGGACTCCTGTTTGTATCTACGATGTCATTCTGCGCATCGTCGCTCGCATCTCTGCACGTATCTTCGTCGGGCTTCCCACCTGTCGTAACGAAGAATGGCTCAATCTTTCTATTCACTTCACTGGGGATGTCTTCCTCACCATGGCCATCCTCCGCCGCTTTCCACGCTGGATGCGCCCGCTCATCGCTCCTATTATTCCTCGTTACTGGGCTATTCGCCGGGGCCTCGGTACGGCAGACCGAGTCATCGGCTCTCTGGTTCGCGAACGACGTGCTCAGCAAGCCGAGAACCCAGGGGATGAGAAACCGGCTGATCTACTCCAGTGGATGATGGATAAAGCTAGCCCGTCTGATGGTCGACCCGAGAAACTTGCGCACCGTCAGCTCATCCTCAGTCTTGCAGCCATCCATACAACCACCGCCTCGGCAACTCAGGCTGTTTACGATCTCTGTGTCTATGGAAACTATGTTGAACCCTTGCGTCGTGAGGTCCTTCAGGCCGTCGCAGAAGATGGCGGTGAATACAGAAAGACGACTCTTACCAAGATGTGGGACCTCGACAGCTTCATCAAGGAGGTTCAGCGCTTAAATCCGCCAGCTCTACGTTCGTTGTCCCCTACCTTCTCCTAGAGTGTAAAGTAACCGCCGACTAACCCCAGTTAGTGAGCTTCCAACGCATCGTCATGCGCGATCTCACCCTATCTGACGGCACAATTCTCCCCCGAGGGACGCATCTGGCGGTACCAGCTGCAGATATTACAAAGGAAGCAGAGTACGACCCAGAATTCGACGGATATCGCTACTCTCGGCGGCGTAGGGCCCACCCTGCCGAGGCACACCGACATCAGTTTGCCACCACAGACCAAACAAGTCTTCACTTCGGCCATGGGAAGTACGCTTGTCCGGGTAGGTTCTTTGCTGCCAACGAGATCAAGATGATCCTGGCCCATTTGCTGGTCGGGTATGAATTCCGTTTACCTGATGGGAAGTGCCGGCCGGGCAATACGATGATCGATGAGGTACTTTTGGTGGATACCCAGGCAAAAGTTTTGATGAGGCGGCGTATGTGATCAGTACACTTAACTAGCTCGCATTTATATGCTATAGTGGTCTAGCACAGTACAGTACAATTTGTGGGTCTTCCAAGCCACTAAGCACGCCCCTAAGCTGATTGGTTATTTCTATTTATTTAAGGTAGACATCTATGTATTTTAACTTCCTGTACTCTTCTGTATTGGTCTTTTGTCCAATCAGCTAGGGGGGCAGTAACTCGCGGATTCTCTCTAGTTCGCCCGGAGCAAGGCTGCCAACTCCTCGCGCTGCCGATCCAATCTAGCCAGCTTCGACCGAGCAGGCTTCCCAATATCTGTTCGCGGAATGCTATCGACAAAGACTACGCCCCCTTCTAAAGCTTTATAACTGGCCAGGTGTTGCTGCACAATGGCGCAGATCTGCTCCTCGGTTACTCCCCCTTGCATCGCCCCCTTACTGCCTTCCCCTTTCAACCGAACCACGTACGCCCTGGGCGCTTCCTCTCCATCACCATCCCCTGTCTTCACTCCTAGAACTGCCACATCTGCTATCCTCGCCTCTTTCTCCAGCAGTAGCGCCTCAATCTCCGCCGGCGCTACCGAGTACCCTCTCACCTTGATCAGCTCTTTTGTCCGACCCACAATAAACCAGTGCCCATCTTTCTCGTAGACCATATCGCCTGTGGGAAACCACCCCTCCTCGTTCACAACTGCGTCACTCCGCCCTTTGTATCCGGACAAGACCCCTGGTCCGCGAATGTAGAGTTCTCCTGCCGCTGGCTGCTCTGCATCTCCTGTTTCATTCCGCTGCCCAACCACATCATCCCCGGTCGGATCAACAAGCTTCACCTCATAGCCCTCCAGCAGAGTCCCCAGACTTCCCGGATAGGCCCGATCCCCATACCGATTCTGAAAAACCACTCCCACCTCCGTCATTCCCCACAGTTGACTCACACACGCATCTGGATGCAAGACTTCCTCGCATCGTTGCAAGGAGGCCGCGTCCACTGGCGCACCCGACACTCCAATATACCGTAATGATGCGAGGCTCTCCCGGATTCGCCGATTAGACTTGCCCGCCTGAGCAATCATCTGCACCGCCACCGGGACGAGATAGGTCTCGTTTATGTGGAACTGCTCTACGGCCGCAATGAACTCGGCGAGGTCGAATCGCGGTAGAATGTACAGCGGCTCACCGTAGCGCAAGGGGAAGAGGTTGTTCCAAAAGTCACCGAAGGAATGGTAGGCAGGGAGGGCAAGCAGGCGGCGAACTGAGCTTGCATTTGCGTCTAGACCTTCGTCGGACATGTAACGAGGTGTGTAATGGACGGTCAAGTGGTGCGAAATGATGGTATGGTGCGTCCGAATCGCTGCTTTGGGGAGCCCGCTTGTACCGCTGGTGGTGAACATTGCTGCTGGGGTCGATCTGGCCAGTTCGACTGTGGGGATACGAAGCCAGGGGGTTGATCCGTGGGTTGCTAGTGCAGTGAGGTGGTATTCTGACATCGACTCGGTTGATATGCTTTCTTTGTTTGCCCAAGGCAGAGCGTGGTCAATATCTTCATTTGCGAAAGTGATGAGCTCCTCGATGGCAGTCTCGGTGACAAGGCAGATTTGACGCGGCAGAGAGGAAGATTCGCACACGTCTCGAACCATGGAGAGGGTGCTCTCTGCCGTCAAAATGATTCGAGGATCAGACAGCTTCACAAAATGCTCGAGCTCGTGGCGTGAAGACGTAGGGCTACAGCCCATGTAGACGCCCCCAGCACCGACAATTGCAAGATAGACGGCGGAATGAAGGATCTAGCATCCGTCAGATGAGCCTTCGTTGGGAGGCCGGGGTAGTTGTACATAATTGTCCATTTGAACAAGCACGCAGTCGCCTACCTGAACATGATGAGCCTTGAACCCGGCAATCAGCGCGCAGACGAGTCGCTTAAACGGCCCTGCACTGAGCGCGCGAGAAGGGTTTTTGGCGTCTATGAATATCGGTGATCGTTCGCTGTGTTTGAATGGGCCGTTGAAGGCAAAGCTGACGAGGTCGTAGGAGTCGGAATCGGTCATTGTATGCGCGGATAGATGACTTGCTGGATAATAAACAGAGAAGGGAAGGAATCAAAGTGACGGTTCTTATACGTTTTTTAAAGTGGTGGGGCCATATATATCTGCTGAGTCCCCTATTTTGGCCGCCGCAGATACCCGACAAATTTGCTTAATGAACCAAATTTTATATATAACCAGGGGCAATGCCAGCAGCACTTCCGAGCTAGGTGAAAACCAAGTACGATAGATACATCCATCAAGACGGAACACTCCTGCAGTATGTAGAGAGGTACATGCCTCGAGAAGATCGATTAAACGATAGGGTTCGTAATGATTCTTTGTGAGGTCCAAAGGTCCTACATGGTATGGCCGATTATTTCTCGCGCCCCTTGAGTCCTCTGCGGTCGTGATGTCCTTGGCTTCCTTATGAACTCCGTCGTACCATGCAAGCTGGGTTACACTACCTAGATGCATGTCTCTCGACCCACTATGAGGAGTCTGAGCAGGAAGGGCAATCTTGTTAGGGACATATAAGGCCCTAATCGGATGGTTGCTCTCTTTACTGTACAGCATCCATTCTCTCGTCTGAGTCGCCTGGGTAGAAAATGATGCAGTTCTAGACCCCTTGCAGAACGCGGGTGGCTTAAGACACCACTGCGATGGTATAGCAAAGACAACGGTACCCAGTGCGTTACTAACCAGATGCGCAGCCGATATGCAAGGTGACCAACACACTGCCAGTCGATGAATCGCCTTTCTCCGCTACATGCAGCGATACCAGAATTCTGCCTTCTGGTACAAATACCCGCCAAAGTTGACATCTTGACGTTCATCTTCTGTATCGACTAAAGAACACCTGACATGAGTTCTGTATCACATCAGTGGCGCCAGTTGAGTGTGGCTATCATTGGCGGTGGGATCGGTAAGTGTTTTAATGTGCCTCCATTCTGTCTGCCCCTGAATTTCCTCTCTTTCCTCCACGCCAAATCTTGATGGACTTTCAGGTAGTTGACTAGAGATTCCAGGGGGCCTTGCTGCCGCAACATCTCTTCGTCGGACAGGCCACAGAGTAACAATCTACGAACGAGGAGATTACTCCGGTAGTTTAGGAGCTTCTATTAGTTGCGGTGCAAATGGAACTAAGTGGCTAAACGAGTGGAATGTCGATATCTCCCGCGGGAGACCATGTAATATTCAAAAGCTGATTCGACATACTCTCAACAGCGGAGAGATACAGAGTATCTACGATCTGTCGGAATACACAGGCAAATGGGGCTATGTGCGTCACTCTGGGCTCATTATAGTACCATCTATCCCTGCTGACGGGCCAGGGATACTATAATTTCTTCCGAGTTGACATGCATGCAATGCTGATGGAATCAGCCACTGGACCAGGATTGGGCGAACCCGCTATGTTGAAACGCTATCACAGCTGTGATTCGGTCGATCATGCAATTGGAACGGTCAGTTTCCAAAACGACGTGACTGTCAGGCATGACCTGATTATTGGTGCCGATGGCGTTGGGGTAGGTCGGCCGTGCATATGGTTCTCACTTAGTCAGTGACAGATAATTGCCTAGTCATCCGTCCGCCGAGCACTTGGGATATATCCTCAACGAAAACGGGCTACATCTACTTGCTATCATTGCGTTGTCCAGACAGCCGATGTCTGTAGGCTTGGGCTTGCAGACATGTCCCAGAATAATGCCCTGGAGTACTGGGGCGGGCAGGGGCTGGAAAAGATCGTCTTCGCTCCTTGCCGTGAAGGCGAAATCCTCTCATTTTATATATTCTTCCCTACTCCTACGAATGAAAAGGAGGAGCAGATAGAGGAGGGTTGGGATTTTGCTGGCGACCGCAGACAGCTGCTCGCACCGTTTCCCACACTCGATCCTGCCTTGCATGCGCTATTTAGCTACGCTGATCCAGTCGATATTCGACCGTGGCGGCTCTTCGCTCATGAGCCCTACCCGTATTGGACCAGAGGTCGTACCTGCATTCTTGGAGATGCCGCACATCCTATGCTCCCAGATCAGAGTCAGGGTGCATGTCAGGCAATTGAGGATGCCGCAGCTCTTGGCATTATCTTCGGACAGTCGTATCTGTATACGAATGACATACATTCCGGCTTGCGGCTCTACGAGAAAGTTCGTAAACCCCGGGCTAGCAAGGTGCAAGCAGCAAGCGCCCGAGCAAGAGAGAATATTTCGGAGAGAATTGGCTTCTCCAGTCAAAAAGGTAGCAGATGGTACGCAGTGGTTGACGAGGATCAGAAACTGACTATTGAGGAGATTAACGAGTCCGTGTTTGCCTTTCCTGAACTAAGGGATCATAGCTGACGGAGTATGTAGTTATGATATGCGTCAACACATCCGATCCCAGGCCGCACTAGAATATAGTGGTTTATGCCAAGAACGGCGTCTTGCTTCCACTTCCTAGCGGTCATATCGAACTCTCAAAACTCTTCTCTGATATCACAGGGCTCTATCTTTCTGTTTTATTAAGGCGACCTTATTTTTGTTGATTTAGACCCTGCCAAGTCTTCTCTGCCTTTTTACGTACATGTTGATCAACCAGATACCTAGAGTAGACGCACAAAAACATGTAGTGAACCATCAAAACCCGCCAGATCCCTAGATATTAAAGAAACCAAAGAAACCACGGGAGAACAACGGCAGCTAGCTGAAACGAGAGACTACCACCACGAGGCTTTTGTTCCTGTGCCTATGAGCATAGTCGGGTTGGCAGGCGGAGTTTCAGTCATTGTGGGTGCTAGTAAGTCAGGTTGGCTCGTCATTACACTTCGTAGAGCACCATTCGCTCCCAGACCAGTCGTGGGAGCCCAGTCTACACTGTGTGCGGAAGAGGTGGCAACAGTGTTGATCTGGAAGAAAGTGCGACTTATATTTTTTTAAATGGCCTGCTTCCCATCACTACCACTGATATCATGAGTGGATGTAAGTCGGCAGCCAATGATGACGCATTGGCATTCACTGTAGTTATAATATGTTGCTCACGCTAGGTTGTAGAGCAGCGTATAGCATGAGATGTTTTATATGACTTTAGTTAAACCTCTGCAATAGGATCACTGGTGCAGAAAGCTGGTTGAGCAGTCATACAATTCATGTTGGCTAAAGCGGCCATGGTACCATCCCAGCGCATTTCCATCAAGGAAACGCTGCGTATATATGTGTCAGTTGACTTCTAGTACCCGAATCTCATGGCAAACCGAGTGTATATCATTGCAAAGTACACAGGCTTCTCAAGAAGGCCAGGCGATATGTGTGCTCTTATACTCGCAGTTCCAAAAAACAGTCCATTGGGCGCTACGAGGCCATTTAAGGGGAAACATTGAGGGATCAGGAGAGTTTATGTCACCTAAAGCTTCTATTGTGTAGTGCTGTGTAGCATATAGACTGTACGGTCGGAGCGACACTCTTGTCGGATATCACATTCCACATCGGAGAGCTGACGACCCTTGCGGAAAGTGCGGAGTGTTATAGCACTGACACCAGCACCTGCTCATGGGATGGGCACCACAGTCAGGCAGGCGGAGAAGACATGGAACGCAATTTAGTTCTCTCAAACCATAGTTGGAGTGACTGCTTGAGAGCACCGGCGGATAGTTGACAGTCCTGACGTTGAAGGGCTACTTTCTTGATGAATAGGCGACAGCGCTCTGGCCACAGCCTTGTTAGTATGGGCATCTCTTTGACCTGTTGGACTACGCAATCTGCTTTCCTCTCGAGCTCAACGACTGGGAGGATATGACGAGGAGCTATACTCGCAAGTTCTAATTATGTCATGAGCTTCAGGTTAGTCAAGGCGATCATGCCATTTCTAATAGATCTGCAAGGCTTGGTTTTGATGTCGACATTTCAGAGTAGAAGACCAGCAACGGTTGGCAGCTTTAACTTCAAAAATTCATCGGTTGGACACATAGCAAGGATCTCAAGCCAGTGCGAGGCGTTCTCCCGCGACATGTTTGACACCAAGTTCTTGCACAAGGTTCCGCTGTTGTTAAACCCCAGTACAGGTGCGATGCAGGAGAGGGTTTGCAATGTTGCAGATAGCTGAGATATCACATGATGGCGGGGCGGTTCGGCGGCGTGGGGGATCCTGTTTTCGCAGATGAAATGGGTCATAAGCGGATCTTAAAGAAGCAAGATACAGTGGTAGCGAAAAGGATGGGTGATTCCGTAGGGTGCTGGCAAGGTTCTGTTTTATACTAGCGGTGACTGACAGTGCCTTAAAGGTACTCTGGCTTATGGCAGGGATGATGCAACATCTTGCGATTGGAAGGAGTAGCCATGCAGTTCTTAAAAGCAGCAGGGTAGTGTCTAGGGAACTAACTCTTTCCCAGAGAAAAGTCTGGGTAACTTAGGTTCTCAGTAAAGGTTCCTTCTCTCCTGGAAAATAGGCCTGTCACTCCTAAGAGCTTCAGCCCTCCTACCAATTAGCTAGGCACTCATAGGAATCTGGCATTATCTCACTAGAAACTCTGTATCCTGGATAGACTATAGAGTTGCATAACCGCACTGATAAGATCGAATCCAACCCTCACTGAACTCGCAGCGGTAAGGGTTTATTTCCTAGCCTAGAGAACTGCACTAGTTGCGGTTTCCCACCTCAGAATTCAAAACCATTTGGTCTAACTGTTGGTTATAATTTTTGAGGTTTTATCTATCTAGGTTAACCAACCATCACTCTTTTGCTTGGTAATCACTAATTTCTGGGATTTCTCTAGAAATATTAATATTAGTAGATAGCCTAGTATCTAGTCTATCTACTCATGAAATATCAATTCAAAATATCTAGTGATTGGTGGGATAGAAGGGAATAATAATTTCGGTCATGGGTTAGTATGAAAGTAGTGGTGGTTTATATATATGCTTCAACCTTGGAGAATCACTATAGTTAAAGAATGATTTTTAACCACCACCCATTCAACCCTATAGATATTGAATTGATATTTTAGATATAGATTAAAATGACTATAATTACTACATATTTTATATAAAGATATTGATTTTCTATAGGCATATTATTTAGTAGGCCAGAGGCATAGGAGAAATTCTGAAAACCATTAAAATTTAGACCCGAAACCAACCTAAATCAAAATTAACTCAAACTGATTCTAACCATGATTAGTTAGTGACTGCCTATCTAGGCCTAGGGGTGGATTTTACAGTGAAACTCGCACTAAATCAGAATGGATTAGAGTTAGTTCTGATTTCTAAAATTTGGACTTGAAATCGCAGCGGTTTAGTGCCATGGTTTGAACTCACCTGGAATCAGACTGAATACAACTAATTCTAAATCATCTAGATAAATTATTATTGGGCCTGTCAACCAATCCGATGTAATAGCGTTTATATGGTAAATGCATATACGCGGAATACCAAGGGAAGAAGGTCTGATTCTTCTAATCTACAATCTCATACTAGAATTTATAGACAGGAAGATGCAATGCAAATGAATGAGAATGAATGGACGAGTCAAATCGCAATATGGTCTATTTCTCGCGATCTGATTGGTCGAATCAGAATTCAAGTTGATTCCGTCAAATCCTTTACTGAATTCGGTAGCCGCTGGCTGACAACACCATTATGATCACTAAGTTCACTAAGTGAATGACTTCACCAACCCAGGTCATCTGATTTGTGGCTAGCAGTAGGTTCTCAGCCATTAGGTCACTGTGAGCCGATACTTTTACAAGTGGCGTGATGGCCATTGACGCACAGCTTATTAGACCTGGTAGGTTCTTGTGCGTGTGGTGTTTTAGACAGGTGGTGTCATATTTTTTAGCTAATTATATGCTAGTAGTTAATGCGGCCATGCATCATTTCAGCCTGTTTACTCTCGTGGTGTTAAGTGTGGTTTTTTATTTTCTACTCATGAAAACAGAACACATATGGAAGATGTGGTATGAAAATATTTTTCCTGTGGCATGGTTTGAATATAGCACATGGATCTCTAATCTGGTTTTTTTGATTGATGTTCTACCTTTCACCAAGTTCTGTCAACCCTTATGTGTAGCTGTGTACTTAGGTATTTAACTGCAACTACATATACAAGCATTCACAATGCCACGCTGTACAAGAACCTCTATCCCAGCTGTATCAGTTCTAGCTATTGCGGTTTTAGGATACAGTAGTCTAGATAATATAAAGCAGGAATTTTATTCCCCTTAGCCATCTCCATCGTTTCAGCTCCACGATCGCAGAGATAGAGGGTGCGGCTTTATCGGAAATTCTGATATATATGGCCTAGGAATATGATTAGGCATATACCTTCAGTGGATCGCGTCTTGTATCTTAAACACATACTTCATTTGCCCGCTCAAACATCCAGGTCTGCTTAATAGTTATTTAGTCTTTAACAGCGCCCTCCTTATAGCTACATTCATTGTTACAGCCCAACCACTCAATACTTATATAGCCAAGATTTATATCATATTTTTCATGATATTCAATGGGTGGTCAATAGTGTTCCCTATCCATCGTCAGGATCATGCAATAAGCATACAAAATGAGTTCTGGGAAGTTGGTGCAAGAAGCACTTTGACTTTCATCCTCAATCTAATCTGGGCAACATATGCTTCTTAGTTCTAGATTGCCAGAGTCAGCTCAACATTTCAGGAGACCCCTTGTGGCACAAAGCTCTTTTTATTTACTGAAGTTAATATATCACCTAGCACAGGTGGACTTTTGGCTGCAAGAATCATTTTAGGTGCGGCTAGCCTGTTTATAATAATCACAATATCTATAACCATACTTAGAGGGCTAGTCACGCGCCTAAGAATTTTCTTCTCTCCCATCACTAAATCAGTAATCTGGAACTTATTTCTACCCAGAAGGATGAGAAGAAAGTGGGATATACAGAGCCATCCACAGCTTCCATGGCTAAATGCAGTGCTGGAAAAAGCTTGAGGACTGCTATGTCAGTGACTAGATTCTTTCTAAGCACATTAACAGCAAGTATTAGAAACTCTGGGTGCTAATCTATGATTGCAGAGAGCCTAGGAGTGTGTTATAGGTTAAGGTCCTAATGGGTATATACTTTTGCACGCCCCTAACTTTTTAGTAGTTCTATTAACCTAATGCATTCTCTTCACAGGATTGCAGAAACACCTAAGGCGTTCCACATTCAACAGAAGTGGTATGGCAGTATAGCTCTATTCAGTACTATTATATTAATTTTAGCTATAGAGCTCACTCTTTTGTGGAATAATATTGAGGGCGTCTATTCAATATCATCTACTGGTCAACTTATTGCATTCATCATTGGGTTAGGCCCGTTGATCATAACTATATATAGTGTTCTGAAGGAGACTGCAGAGGCTATAAGTGCTAAGATGCAGATCAGCATTATTATATTAGTTATAGCTAATAATCAACCTCCTTAGTCACTACCACCACCGCCAGGAGCAGAGCAGTTTGAATTAGAGCCACAACCAACACACCAATCACATGCCCTAAGAGATGTTTTAGAATCTCCTATATAGGTCCCTTCTGCTTCCTTAATAGTACCATCAAATTTTTATTTATGGTGGTGGGCTTGGCCCAGATTAGGAACAGAGCCTGGTGTGACTATGGTGGGGGTTAGGCTAATCAGCTCATCCTCATAATCAACGCGTGCGCCACAATGAATGACGCCAAGTGGAAGGGTCCAAGGCTAGTGACCAGTGAGTATCAGCTGTGGGAGCACTCAGCTATAAGCCACACTTAGTGGACCATTCCACCGACAAAAGCCTCTACATTCTCATCAACGTTCAATATATCGGCTAGTGAGTAAGGCTGTCCTTTGAGCTAAAACTTATCTCTTTTCTGCACATCCTCTTGGCACTGGTAGACAGCAGATTTGCAGGCATTCATGATGACCACCTTGCTTAACTCATCCAGATTACGGCTTGTGTCTAGGTGGGTGATTAGCCTGGCGCCTTTACAAAATTCGCGAGTAAAGAAATCATCCTAAGACTTAAAGCCCCAGCATCCCATTTTATCAGCAGGAATACACACATAAATTTCCTTGTACTTTTTATTTCTGCCATAGGGCCAATATAGAGCAGCTTTCTCTGTTATGATCTTCAGATGCTCCTCCTCAAACCAGGACAGAGAGCCGACTGTAACTTTGGGCTTTTAAGACAGTCACCATGGGCTGTGAGGATCTGTCTAAGACAGCCATTAACCTTGCTATTTTTGATGAACTGATATTTACTTTTAGTTGCCATGGGCCAGTTGAAGACTGCATTGAAGGGGACCCTAATTAGACTAATTTTAGACTTATCATGGTCCCAGATCTTCAGCACTCCGGCATACCAAATGTGTGGTAGTGTTTCACTGGCAAATACTAAGCATGGAGAGGAAAGCGAATAAATATATATAGAAAGTGTAAACAATCAGATATATAGGTGCCCCATAATAAGCAAAACTGTCAACCACTCTCAGTAGGGTGAATAAGGTGATGATGATGTAGCCATCACCTTCAGTACTTCAATCCAGGGCTTTGTAGAAACAGAAAACTAAAGCTTGAGCTCTTCTATAACAGCCTCTTGTAGAGGCACTTAGAGGTATACTTTAGAGATGCAATTAACAGAGTGAACTAGGCTATAATTACATGGGCAGGAATAGAAGATATTTAGCACTAAGGATTAACACAGACTTCGAATGCAATAAATTACTATGTCAACGCCCATTCTTTCTCCCATGCTCCCTTCCTGGTCACCTTCTCCAGACCATGAATCAAAAGCACTTGAGAAGTGATATTATACTTAATAGACTTGACCTTCTGGCCATTGAACCTGACCTCCAATGGCACCTTCTTGACACCTAAAACCATCACCATGTCTAAATTATTCCGTTCTTTCTAAGAACCAGCAACTGATGCAACCAGCGTCATACTGGATAAGGCAATGAAATTAACATTAAGAATTTCCTCTGCCCTGATACTCTCCCCATCATCCAGGTAAAGCTAACCTACTACATCCCCCTTGTCATCCAGCGCAATAAGCAAAGACCACAGCGTATTCCTCGCCTCGCGTGTCATCAGCACTGGCTCCTGCATTGGAATGACATGCCCGCCCCGAATAAAAACTGGGATATGGCCCAGCAGCGCTGGAATGGTCATGTTCTTCCCTGGCTGGGCATAATCTATCTCACGCTCTGTGTACCAGTCATACCACTTCTTACCATGCGCCAAATTAGGAAAAACTCCCTTGACTATATTCTCCTGTGGCGCTAAAATAGGAATAATCATAAAGGCTAGACTAAGCAGGAACTGCATCTCGACGGCCGCCAGAGACAGATCATCTAGGAACTCCCACGCCAGCGCGCGCATGACCATCGAACCCGTGGCATGAGCCTGATACATCAGCATGTACATATACAGGAGAATAGAATAATGGATCTTCATTGCGTCCTGTGACGCCTTAATAACCGAGGCCCAGCGGTATGGTTCTTGCGGGATAGCAGCCAGCCAGTTGTGATTGTGGTAGAAGGGGAAAAAAGCAGAGAGCTGCATCCACTGGTTACAGAGTTCCTCATCAGTGTTTCCGTCGAAGCCGCATGTGTCGACGCCGAACATGGGTATTCCATATAATGAGAAGGAGAGGGCGTGGGGGATGGATAAGTACATATATCCCCATTTGGCGTAGTTATCTCCGCCCCAGTGGCCAGCCCATTGGCCAGAGCCTGCGAAAGTTGAGCGGCCGATAATGAAGGGGTGTTTTTTCAGACTAATGGCGAGGAGCCTATGGTAAGTCGCGTTGATGATTTGATGCCCATACAGGTTGTGGACGTCGTATTCAAGAGTTCCGTCGACGTGGGTGGCGTTGGGGGAGATGGCATGAGCTGCCAGGTCGTGGCCGGATTGGATGTTATTGATCGCGTAAGGAGGGTAGTTGACATTGCGGGCACCAGGAGTAGGAGTTGTACGTAGATAGGTGATCACCATGGATATGACGGGGCCTTGAGTAGCAGAATTGGCCGCGTCCTGGCTTAAAGCAGCTGTGGATGCTAAGGCAGCTTCTGTAGCGTTTGTGATGTTGAATCCTTCCGGGTAATCAAACAGAAGGTATCCAGGATCACCGGGCAGCTTGAACGGGGGATGGGCAGGATTGCGAGTAATGAGATCAGACCCACAGCTGCCCACGCAGAATGAAGAAGCCTCGTTCATATCCATCCAGATGCCGTCAAAGGCTACCTTCTCATGGTACTTGGCGAGTTCGTTAGCCCAAAATTCCACCGCTTTGGGATGCGTATCTGCTTAATGGAGATAGTGTCCGCCAAATCTCCGCCCAATCCCCGCCCTGACACTAGATGTGGGAATTTGGACTCCTACGGGATTGCCGATAGAGATAAAACAACTTACAAACTCCACTCCAAGTCTATCAAGTAATTACTAATAAGATTTGTGATATCATCGTGCAGCCGGTCTTTAATTCTCAAGTTCTAAGACCTGCACTGATGCTGTATGATTTGCTCGCTCGCCGAGGTTTTTACTCCGGAACATGCTGCAGGGTCTAACGGCAATTTTTCTTGAATCCGGGGGTATTGCTAAGCCGCTGTGGCGCTTCGTATTCGGATGAACCTGATCCAATCAGCACCGTAGGAGAATGATGACAGGATCTTGAATTGGGTGAGCACACGAGGTTTTCTCCAATGATCTTATTAAGCTCTCATGTCGGACCGAGTGGTACACACACAGTCTTTTCTTGGTCGTTCTTGTCCAACAAATTATCAGAGAGGATCCCGAAGTAACGGGTTCAAGGTGCACATTGCAGTGATATTTCGTTCACTTCGACCTCGCTCGCGATGAAGGAAAGATCATATGATATGCCCGTAGTCCGTGGCGAGCTGTTCATTGCATTTCTCGACTAGTTGCTGACAAATTTGGCGGTCACAGACAGGTCATTGCGGAGATAAAATCAAGGAAACTCTCTAGCTTCAGCAGCTGAAAAAACTGAAAATTACACCTTGGGCTTTGACAAAGAGCCAGCAATTGTTGTTTATATAACAAGAGGGATATAGTTATGTTAGTTAACTAACTACAACATTGACTCCAGCAAGGCTGCTGCGTACAGAACACGAAATGCAATCAAGAATTCTATCCAAGAGCCATTCTTAGCAGCATCAGTCAAAAATTCACCCTATCAATTTTGAACTTTGATCTATATAACCTAGACTAAGCTTCTCCAATACTTTAATGCACTAGATGACGCTGCTCTAATGTCAATAATTGCATTATATGCGTAACCCTATAATTAATATGATAACTATTGTGTCCTCTCTACATTGTGTCATGATCTGTTGTAGTGGTTGTGGACAGTCATCGCTTAGGCAGTAGATCTCAATATCAGGAATGGACTAGTACAACAAACTTGAGAACTGTTAGTTAGAGCCTATTCAGTAAGTAAACATATTGATGAACACAACCTTTCTTGTATCAATGCTTCAAGTCAGAGGCTCAGAGCGTACATCAGTACAGATTGTTTTTAGATAATGCAGTAGTCCAGCCCTAGTAAGTGAATGGTTATTTCCAGAAACTCTCACCCATTATAGCCAAAAGCACGTTACCTCACTCTGACTTGTTTAACAGTCTTGTTTTACTAGTGTTCCAGCTTCGGATCAAGATTCCACAACAGCTTCTGACCATCATTTTGCCAGAGGACTGTCATTTGCCTCCAACCCGCATAAATCTCCGCCCCTTCCTTTCCCTGCCACCCTCACGATGCCGACGCCCTCGTATGAATTTTAATATTTCACACCTGGCCACCTGAGCTGCAATGGCCAAGTTTTGAGATGACGATGCAGGATAAAACCCCGTTTTCTCACGTTCTCCATGAGATATGAAACCACGCAATTGGCCAATGCGCGACAGCTCTCTGTTCTTTTAAGTGCTCGATCCGAGATCGATCCTTGGAACAAACATTGCAGCTGCTGCAATTTTAATGATTATTTTATGTCGTATGTTTCCGAAGTGGGGTTATTCCCTCCGGGGCCAGGGATTTGACATGGAGTCTATCAAATGCGTTGTCTAATGCCAAAGGCACCCTTTCACGCGTGGATTGCTGCAAGGACGGCATTGGCATATTAATGCAGAAGACGATCGGCACACGTGTGACCCCGAATATCCTAAACTGACCCCATCCGAAGAAACTATTGCACCCTCAAGCCTGGGAATGCTATACGCACAGGGAAGGATACAGACCTATGTCTGACTTCGTCACGGAGCACTTACCGTGTAAAATTTTATGGTCTTTTTATGATAGGTTGAAATGTCCGTCCGCTGTCTTTCCGAGACTGAAGTCAGGACTCCGCAGGTTGGCCTTGTCCCTCAATCCAGATATAAAATCCGAACTAGGCAGATAAAAGGGCTCAGATGTCGCAAAAATCATATTCTATCAGTGAGCAAGCATTGAAATTGGTCAGTTTTGGCACTTGCGGTTTTACCAACATGAAGCTCCTTACTATTGCATTGACATTACCCCTGCTGGGGTAATGTGTACTGGCATTGAATGCAGCCGAATGGCGCAGTCAGTCTATTTACTTTCTCATGACGGACCGATTTGCCCGGACAGATGGCTCCACTACTGCTCCTTGTGATGTCGGACAACGTGTATGATGCCATCCTTAGCTTTTGATCAGGTACTAACGATGACAGGGGTATTGCGGTGGAAGTTGGAAAGGCATCATTGATCACGTAGGTCAACAGCCTGCAATTTATCCACGAAAAGTTCTGACCAAATAGCTCGACTATATTCAAGGCATGGGCTTTACCGCCATCTGGATCACGCCAATTGTCGAGCAGATCCCGCAGACAACAACTGAGGGAACAGGGTTCCACGGGTACTGGCCTCAGAATATGTAGGTCCTGGAGGGTGCAGGTGACCAAGGTCAATGTTGATCTCATACTCCGTAGATATAGTGTCAACTCTCATTTCGGAACCGCCGATGATATTCGGGCATTGTCCAAGGCTCTTCATGACCGGGGAATGTACTTGATGCTGGACGTTGTGGCCAACCACATGGTACGTGTCATCGTCTTAATCAAACAATTGTTCAGCTTCTCACACAGCATGATATGTAGGGGTTCAATGGCCCTGGTGCCTCCACCGACTTTAGTACCTTTACCCCTTTCAATTCAGCATCCTACTTCCATTCCTGCTGCCCCATCAACAACTACAATGATCAGTGGCAGGTGGAAAACTGCTATCTCGGAGATAGCGTTGTGTCTCTGACTGATCTGAATACACAAAGCTCGGCCGTGAGGGAAATATGATACGACTGGGTGAAGGATCTAGTTGCAAATTACTCTGGTAAGGCTTGTCGTTCTGTCGCTATCATGCCAATATCTGAGAAGAACAGTCGACGGACTTCGCATCGACACCGCCAAGCATGTTGAGAAGGACTTTTGGAGTGGCTACACGCAGGCTGCTGGAGTCTATTCTGTTGGTGAAATTCTCCATGGAGACCCTGCATATACCTGTGGTTACCAGGTTTACATGGACGGTGTCATGAACTATCCCATGTAAGTTTGGCCGCCGTCTCGCGCAACCTCTTCTGACAACGTAGATACTACCAACTCGTTAACGCTTTCAAGTCCTCGAGTGGTAGCATCAGCAGCCTTTCAAATATGATCAGCTCTGTTGCTTCTAACTGCAAGGATCCAACTCTCCTTGGGAATTTCATAGAGAACCACGACAATCCCCGATTTCCGAGGTAAGCTACGCCCCAGGGCACTATAATGCTTATGCTAATGACTACAGTTATACCAGCGATATATCGCAAGCCAAGAGCGTGATTGCCTATATATTCCTCACTGACGGTATTCCTATCATCTACTCCGGCCAAGAGCAACATCTTTCCGGCGGCGCTGATCCATACAACCGTGAAGCTCTGTGGCTTTCTGGATATTCCACCAACTCGTACAAGTCATCGCTACGACAAACAAGATCCGCAGACTTGCCATCTCCAAGGATTTGAACTATCTCCCAGCGAGGGTAAGTTGGGCAGCCTATCATTGTAATCCCCATACTAAATCTGAAAGAACAATCCCTTCTACACAGATAGCAACACTATCGCGATGAAAAAGGGCTCCAGAGGCTCCAACGTCATCACAGTCCTGACCAACTCCGGCTCCAACGCCGGCTCGTACACTCTCAACTTGAACAGTCATGGGTATTCGTCCGGCTCGAGATTGATTGAATTGTACACATGCTCTTCCGTTCAAGTCGACTCAAACGGCAACCTACCTGTACCAATGTCATCTGGCCTCCCTCGTGTGCTCGTTCCATCCGCTTGGGTATTAGGAAGGGGACTATGCGGCGCTTCATCCACCACTAGCCTGGCCACCCCAACAGTAACTTCTACCTCTGCTGGCACCTGCGCTCCTTCCACGGCGATTCCAATTATTTTTAAAGAACGGGTGGCCACCTCGTATGGGGAGAACATCTTCCTTTCCGGTCCAATCGACCAGCTTGGGAACTGGGACACTTCTAAAGCAGTTGCACTGTCTGCTAGCGGATACACATCTTCGAACCCGGTGTGGAGTGTGAAGCTGGGTTTGCGTACCGGTACCTATTTCCAGTACAAATTCATCAAGAAGGGGCAGGATGGAAGTGTTACGTGGGAAAGTGACCCTAATCGATCGTATACTTTGCCCAGCGGGTGTGTTGAGACCGCAATAAGCATCGCTGATTCGTGGAGATAATTCCCTAGGGATCAGGGTCTGTGAAGCTTTGATGTTGTGGTGGTCACCTTCACAGTACCAGCGCTAACAAAGAAAGGGTTCCCATCCGTCTCTGCTCCTAATTAGTGTGAAAATGCGACGATTAGGGAAGGATTGACCACATCCATAGACTAAATACAATTTTGACTGCTTTACTACTCGCTCATTCCTCCCTGTCCTATCCCTCCCATTACAAAGAAAAATGCCGAGTTTTCAAAAAGCAAAGAGGAAATTTTGGCATATAAGAAGCCCTCATATAATAATAGACGTGGAGCACTGCATAATTCATGAAAAGAGCCAACTGCTCTCGAACAGCAGAAATGGAGACGGGAGTTTCTGGCCGCTGTGGTACAGTCGCAGTATGATTGGATTCAACCATACCGGAGCCGACCAAAGGAAGAACAGGCTTACCCAGATATATCCTATCAACAGTCTCCAGTGGGGATTCACCTGCTTGATCATTCTGTGGCAGGTAAACCTAACCAGGTCCTCTAACATGATACCCGGTATGTGCAGGCAGAAAAACCACAATGCACCACTTTGATCTGCGGATACGCCAAAGCCCAGATCCATGAGTAAATGAATTATTCCCGACGTGAAAAATGTGATGATAAGCCGGAGAGTCTTGGAGAACGGCCCTCGTGGGAGTCGAAGAACGCTAAAGAGCAGAAACTCTGCATTTGATATGACTGGCTTGCGAAACATCTGATGCCATGCAATTCTAGATCAATGAGTATTTCATGCCCAGTCTTGCGAAGAAGGTGGTGCTTACCCCCACACGCGAGTCAATGAATTCATATCTGCCGTTGAACCGAAAATAGGTGGCCAGTCAATGGGCCGGTGCACTCCGAGAATGACACAAACCATTGCAAGGAGGTTGTACATTCCCAGTATGGCTGCTCGAAAGAGGAAGCCAAAGGACACCATAAAAAGGCTTTGTATGATCAGCCTCCGCGCCGTCCATTTCTCTTCAGCAGGTAATAGGACCATTCTACTCCCTGAGAGCTCTGAGATGAACTTTGGAAGATGAGGATCATCCGCCTCAATAGCGAAGAAGTGCAGCACGAGCAGAGAACCGCCCACATTTAGCATGCAGTTACGCAAGAAAACCCACCGGTCAGGAACGTATCCCAGCTTATCTTTGACAAATGCGGGAACAGCGCGAATTTGCCATGGGGTATTAATACGACGGTAATTGAGCGTCAGCCCTATACACCAGACGAATCTCCTCCACTGACTGGTGCTCTTTACCATCCTTCTTTGGGCAGATTTCATCTCCCAGGCAACCTGTGCATCGTACGAGACACGACTCAACATAATCAAATCAATGGCATTGAGTACATTCACCCAACACATCGCAGCTAGGGGTCCCCGGGCGGGCGTTGATGAAAAGGCTTGGTGCACTTGAAGCTGAAATGAGCACGCGAGTCCAATGGCAATCGCAATGAGGGCAGGTCTTATTTTGGAGTATGGCGGTGCGAAGGCAATTGTCCATCCTGTCAAGACTGGGATGAGGAACCATTGTGTGAGCGCGATGCTCTGTTCTGAGTTCAGCGCCATCGAGAATGGGTGTGTCGGAGGGAAGCTGATGAGGGATGATGGAGCAATAATAACAGGGCATGTTGATATTTTTAAGGCTGACTAGCAGTCTGTGCACTTGTGGCTGGCTAGCTGCATGGCGAAATGTCAGCCGCTTGTATGCCCTCTTTCTCCTCGGCGAAATCTGGCGGTGACACAGTCTGACAGATTCCCTGAAACAGTGAGGATAGGAAACCGGCTACTACGTATATTTAATAGTATTTCTTATTTGTTTATTCATTTATTTTTTAGGCAGAATGGTTTTACGCTGCATGAAGTAATGTTACTCCAGTTGACGGTTAATCATCTCCCCTAGACGGCGCAGTGAAGTTGACCGACAGCGATAATGGAACGAGCCACCTGGCTAGCCCGGAACTAGGTGCTCTCTGGATCCCGTAAGTGTGTTTGGAACTGGTTCTGATTGGCTACAAGGACCAAAGTCATCATGCTCTGAAAGACGATTGAGTCGACCTCTCCAGAAAAGCTACCAATGCAGAATACTATATAGAGTCACCCTCGCCGCAATAATGCCCCAGTAGCCATTCATGGTTCTGCTATTCCGGAAAACTTAAAGCCCAAATTACTGTGCGTGTGAAAATGCGTGTACCCTGACAGGACTCGGGAGCTTCAGGGCATTTGGTATCCTGATATCTGGGAGCCGTAGCCCCTGTGCCCATGGATTTAGAAAAGTGACAGTATACCAACATTGCCATGATACGAAATTCTCGTCTAATTCCAGCTTGCCTGATTCGTCGTAGGAGAATTACTAGCAGTACAGATGTAAGTTCCCCTAAAGCGAGAGACGAACAAGCGTAGGGAGTATGTCAATAGAAGTGCATAATGCAATTTTATATCAGGGCACCTAGAATGACACTCAAAAAATGGCGTCCTATCCAATATAGCCAGATGTCCTTTAGGTACACACTAGGAAGATAGTAAACTGCTAACTCCATCTGCTACTTGCTTCCGAAGTCTTCTGCTACTAAACACAAAGCTTTCTACTACATCATATTAAGTCTCTAAGAAGGGATCATGCGTACCATAGTCTTCGTGCAGCCTTTTTTATGAATGATCTGATAAGGACCTCTGATTGATTCCGACCCGCAAAACCTATCAGTTTTAAGGATGAAGCTAGATCGGACCATTGTAGTATAAATGCACATTGGATTGCTCACCATATTCTTATACTTACAATCTTCTTGTTAAGTTGGAAATATCAATGGTTCATGTGGTGTGCCTCTTTTGATTTTAGCTTGCGCTGATATGTTTCTTTCACTGGGCAGCCAGGATAGTCGGCCACCTCCCACTCCCCAATTCCACATTCTTTTGGAGCTTTTATCTTCCCTCTCCCGCCACCTCCTATGATTAGGTTCCCTGGCCGATATGCTGGGTCGGACTTTAAACGGCGAATAGCTGAAACGTGGATCTTGGCATCATTAGGAATGTCGCGCACTTCTCCGCAAGGTAGAGGCCAACGAATGGGTTTCCAAGATCCATCTTCCTGCAAATCCATCCGACGGAAAGGCAGGTATTCCATAACTTTCCAGGAAAGAACAGTGGTCCAAGGAAGTCCCTTGCCGAATCGGAGAGAGTCGTGCATTCGTGAGTCTGTGCTGGACTTCCGGAGATAATAATCTAAACCAGGCATGGGACTTTCTCTGCCGCTGACTTCGTCTCCAATGTTCTGGGCTGCTCTGTTATGCAAATTTTCTGCAAGATTCTCGCCTTGCGAGTGTTCGGCATGATCTTCAGTTGAATCCCCTGAGCAGTGGAAGCGTCTCAATTTTCCCGTGTCAAATCGCAATCCTGCCTTCTGGGCATTCTGCACCATCCACACCAACGGCACATGACTGAGAGGATATTCGCCTGGTTTCAATGGCCATCCTCCGCCAATATCTGCGTGGCATCCTGGAAACCATACCTCCTCGATGTCCTGCACGTCATCGGCTTTCTCGTCCGCGGACGAAGCAGAAGGAGAGGCAGCCCTAGGTTGCTGAGCCGACTGCGACAAGCGGCTATTATGGTGCTGGTGGTGATTATGATAAGGGAGAAACACATTGTGTCTCTCCAAATGCTTACGCAACCGAGTAGATGGTCGTTCCTTTGGCGACGGCTTGACCCCTGATATGAGATCCTGGCGGAATTTGGCCCGATGCTCGTCGATACTCACCGCATGGCGGATCACCTTGGCTTTGGTACGAGCCGTATAAGGGAATCGGTTGCGCCTCATCCAGGCCCTTTCAAATCTTGGAACACTATTGACAGTGTCGAACAGGCCCAAGAAGCGAATGTCGGGCGGCGGATGGCAGAAGGTCTCCTGAAACCCCTGCATATACTTCAATAGCGCTTCGGCGCCGCGGCCACGTTGTTGCCATTTCGCAAACGTCTTCCAGACAAAGCGTATCAGCTCTTCATTGCCTGCCTCCAGAAGACCAATCTTGTCCAGCATTTCAGCGAGGAAGCGGGCAACATATGCTCCGCGACTGAAGCCGAAAATGTAGATTTGATCCCCAGGGGAATAATATCGCATTAAGAATTTATAGCCACCCATGACATGGTCAGCCAATGTGGACCCGACCGCAGCATCTTTTGCTTTCACGTAGGCGGATTTGATCTTTCTAATGGTGCCGCTATGTGAAAGCGAGGCTGATGTTACATATGTGCCAATTCCAGGTTGATAATAATGAAACTGATTGGAGCCAGTCCGATCGAGCATCTTTCTCTAGGTAAGTCCGAGTCTATGCACAAAGCCTGCTGTGCTTACTCTAAATATTTTGAGCACATTGCTGTCGGATTCGTCGTCATGGAATTTGTTATTAGTTCCATCAAAGCAAAGGACAAACTCCTTCGGCGCCGGGGTAGGATCCATGATCTGTATTGTTATCCTAGAAGGACAAATAAAATCTGACAAATGCAAGATAGAAGTAGTTATACCAAGTTATCTAGAGGACACTCATGCTAGTAGCAGCTTATAACCTTGCAGGCTGAAACTCGCCTTGGTGCATCTAATTTCCTGTACAGTAGCCTAATGGCAAGCTTTCTGCTGCAAACGGTGATGAAATTAATCAAATGACCTGTAAGGAAGTGATATGTCGGAAGCTTCAGCATTCTAGGCCTGAACCCAACACAAACTGTGGCACCGAACCAATGTCGATGCCGTCAACAACAGAGTTTAATTTCTATACATCGGACGAAAACGGAAATTCCCCACAATGCGCAATAAGCTCTGACTGAATGACATGGAACTTGTAACTCACAGCAATCGTTGTTTCATTAACGACCAGTTAATTTGTGTGGTAAAAGTAATCTGCGTCGAACAATCCATTTCGTCGCCCTGGTGCCAGTATACTTGGAGTGACTGGAAATGTTCGTCATGAGCCTGACCCACATCATAGACATAGTTATGATTCTACGCTTGGTCAGTTGACACAAGCTAGTCTATATGCTAGTTACTACTTTTAAGCACAGGATGACTATTGCTAAAGGCTTTGTCTGTAAGAGCTATATGGCAGTGAAAATAGGTTCGACCTATATGTTAGATGGTCTTGAGAGTAACAATCAGAACCAAAGAGCTCTCAGCGCAAGATGGCTCCGATAAGCTCCCTATCTACCATAATGCTTCTTCCTGCTATTGCAGGGCTTGCTACATCGGATCGTCGGCCTTAAGTTTTGGGCTTAAGCTTGTCAGGTCCGAAGCATGGAGATGGGTCAGCACGGTTCACAGCTGTGGGATAGTATAAAATAGTGCTGTTCTGGGTTTAGGACAGATGCTTAGTTAATAATGATTATGTGCAATCTTGCAAAGCCATAAGATCAGTTTAGACTTAATATGATGGACCTTTTCAGTTAACCTGCTCCTCCATACGATTGCATATTTTTAAGAAAATATTAGTGCACCGTCACTCGACCCATCAATGATGTCGATCAATCTGCGCTCATATTTTTTGATAATGTCAACTGTGTATTTGAGATTTCGGTCATGCATCCCCCATATCTCTTAACACACTCGCAGTTTACCACTGTCATGATGATTCCCCGTATTACAAGTAGCTAACGTATAGAGCTCGGGGTACTAGGTCCGTGGCAGTTCTCTATGAACCAGACTTGATTATCGATCCTGAATCCAAATCACATATTTGAAACAGAATTTGAGGTTGGCTATTTCACAGGGAGACGATTGGTCGGAATATAGAGACGGCATTCTATAAGGAGACTCCGGAGTTGTTTTCATGTTGTTGCTGCACGATGGAAGCAGAATTACTGATTTGGGAGGAACTCCGGCAACTCCAGCCCACAGGGCAAAACAAGCAGTCAAAATGGCAAATAATCACTGTAATCTATATCCGCCCCATATCACACATTAAATGCTCATTACGAGTAAGGATGCAGATTACAAATGAATGTAACTTGTTTGTGCGTTGGAAGACTGTTGGTCTCCAAGGTTCCTCCTTCCTATGATATATAAATATCCTCTTTTAGGCGCGCATTCATATCGGTTGTGTTGACTTCAATCGCCCGGTGCAACTGAACTAAGACTACATTATGACTGAACCATTGGTCACTCCCAGCTCAAGAAGTCTCAATGGCCAGCCCGAAAAGATCGTTTCCCAAGGCACAGATCTGGAGAACAACACTTCCCCGTCGGCTGCCCCCGTTCAGCATGCAAATGGGCCATCTGCCACAGAAGACACCCCTCCCGAGTGCACAGTCACTGGCTTCCGCTGGTTTCTTGTCTGCGTGGCCATCTTTTCGGCCAATATTCTCTATGGACTAGACACCACCATTGCAGCCGACATCCAGGCCGCAGTATCGGAGACGTTCGACAATGTGAGACAGCTGGGTTGGTTAGGCGTGGGATTTACTCTGGGTTCAACCGTGGCCATCTTGCCTCTTGGCAAGGCGTTTGGAACCTTTGACACGAAATGGGTGTTTCTAAGCTGCTTGACTATGTTTGCTGCTGCGAGTGCGTTATGCGGTGCGGCACCATCGATGAATGCGATTATTGTGGGACGGGTTTGGGCTGGTGCCGGGGGAGCGGGGATGTACTTGGGGTGAGGGATTCTTCACAAGTGATATGTTGAGTGATGCTGACGAGAGCAATCAGAACTCTCAATTTGGTGACTACTATGAGTAGTCCCCAGAAACAGCCGTTTTATATCGGGATGACCGGGTTTGTATACGGCAGTGGGTGTATTCTAGGTCCGATTGTGGGCGGGTCTTTGGCGGATAGTTCAGCGTCGTGGAGATGGGTATGTCCTCATCTGCAGTAGTCCTTTGACGAGACGCCCAGTTAACAAGAGAAGGCCTTCTATCTCAATCTCGTCATCTTCGGCGCCATGTCCCCCATCTATCTGTTCATTCTTCCATCGCTCCCCCGCCGCCCTGACCTCCCCTTCTTAGACAAGCTGCGCTCCCTCGACTGGCTGGGCATTATTCTTACCGCCGGTCTCTGCGTCTCGTTCACGCTGGCCTTCACATTCGGCGGCTCCATCTGGCCCTGGAACGACGGGCGCGTCATCGCCCTCCTCGTCGCTTTCGGTGTCATCACCCTCATGTTCTGTGTGACACAGCGGTACTCGATGCTCACCGACCCAATCAACCGGATCTTTCCCTGCGAATTTCTCCGCAACCCCCAGCTCATCCTGCTCTATGTCTGCATGGCCTGCGGTGGTGCCGCGTTGTTTGTTTCCGTCTACTACATCCCACTCTACTTTCTCTTCGTGCACGGTGACAGCGGCACGCAGGCCGCTGTCCGACTCCTCCCATTTATCTTCGTCTATGTCGCCACCATATTAACATGCGGTGCGGTCATGGGCAAGACAGGCTACCATAACTTCTGGTACATCTTCAGCGGGATCTTCATGACCTGCGGCGGTGCGGCGATGTACACGGTGCGATACGATACCCCCGTGGCAAACATCTACGGCTACTCCATTTTGCTCGGCCTGGGAATGACCACCACCCAGGCGGGGTATGCCGTTGGCCCACTCCTCGTCAAGCCTGACCGTATCGCGGAGCTCATTCAGTACTTGAATATCTCGCAGGGTTCGAGCCAGCTGATTGGGTTGGCCATCGCTAGTTGTATTTTCCAGAGTCTAGGATTTCAAAGACTCAAGGGAGCGCTCGCTGGGACGGGGTACTCAGATGCTCAGATTCAGGCGGCTATTGCAGGGGCGAGGAGCGAGCTGTTACGCAACGCAACGCCGGAGTTGAGGGCGAAGTGTGTGGATGCGATTGTGAGGACGATTGGGGATGTTTGGGTGATGGTGATTGCTGCAGGGGCCTTGTGGACCTTATCCTCGCTGTTTTTGACCCGGAAGAGGTTTTTTGTTTAGATTTCGCGAACATGCTGGAACTACTGAGGGATAGATTATAGCAGAGCATAGAATGTCAACTTGGTAATCCACCTTCCCGCATGATACATGCGATCATGCAGCTCCATGTCAATCAATACTTGACTCGTCGACTGCAGATTTGTTCTAACCGACTCAACATCACTTTCTTTTCATGGCTACTAATCTTGTCCATTCTAATCAAGCATGTAGCTCCGCTCAGGTGCCAAGAAACAACCCTAACTTTCTTCTTCCGTCACCAACTCCGGCAACTCCTTTGAGACTCCAGTCAATCGCAAAAAACATACTTAGTTGGCAGTCGGAGATAACCGCATTCACAGCTATCTCAAGTATAGCAGGTTATGGTATGATAACTCCGGAGCAGAAGTACCTACCCCTCTTACTGATTGTGTTAAGGCGTGCCTATATATAAACAAAGAGTGTCTGTTAATTCTACCTTCTGTCTGACATCTCATCCATCCCTACCTCCAGAGAGATATTCTATAAGCAACAACAAAATGACCGTCGCACAGACCTACAAACAAGCCGTCTTCAAATCCGCCGGCACCCCGCTGGTCATTGAGGAAACACCTCTGACGCCGCCCGGTCCCAATGAGATTCTTGTGAAGGTGGAAGCATGCGGTGTGTGCTTCTCGGATGTGTTTGCGCAGAATAACGTTATGGGCGGGGGTTTGTATGTCAGTCTTCTTCCTCCTTGTGGATACTACTAATGATGGATGTGTTGCCAGTCCCATCGTCCCTGGTCATGAGATTATCGGCCATGTAGCCGCTGTGGGGGACAACGTCTCGGATTGGACTGTCGGCGATCGGATTGGAGGCGGCTGGCACGGAGGACATGATGGTACGCCCTACTCCTTGTCCTGCACTCTGGTTAAATAACTCTCTGTGAGAAGGAACGTGCAAAGCCTGCCGCAAAGGCTGGTACCAAATGTGCAGCTCGCAGGTCGTCAACGGTGAGACCAAAAATGGCGGTTGTACGTCCTCCCCTTCCTCTTCTCTTCTCCTCTTCCCTGGAAACGACATTGATTGGTGATTTCAGTCGCAGAATACTGCCTCCTCAATCCCGAAGCGGCCGTCCGCATCCCCTCCCACGTCTCAGCAGCAAAGTATGCCCCCATCCTCTGCGCCGGCGTCTCCGTCTTCAACTCTATCCGGCACATGAACGTCCCTGTCGGCGAGACCGTTGCCATCCAAGGTCTCGGCGGCCTGGGCCACCTCGCCATCCAGTACGCCAACAAAATGGGGTACCGGGTGGTTGCGATCTCGCGAGACGCAACAAAGGAGAAGTTTGTGAGGGAGTTGGGCGCGCACGAGTATATCGATTCAAGTAAGGAAGATGCGGCGGTCGCGCTGCAGAAGCTGGGCGGGGTGTCGCTGGTTGTTTCGACAGCGCCGACGGCTGAGGTGATCAGTCCATTGTTGAAGGGGTTGGGGATCTTGGGGAAGTTGTTGATTTTGTCTGGTCAGTTCATCGGCCTTGCCTTGTGTTGGTGCAGTGTGCTGATGGGTGGGTATAGTGCCGGGTGAGCTCCCCATTGATACGGTCACCATGGTAAGTGATCCTCGACGGTTCCAAAAGCAAGTACTCACCCGAGTCCAGCTTAAATACGGCCTCTCGGTGCAGGTTTGGCCCTCTGGCCATGCCACCGACTCGGAAGACGCGATAGCGTTCACTGAACTACACAATATCAACTGTATGGTCGAGGAGTTTCCTTTAGAGAAGGCGAACGAGGCATATGGTGAGATTTCCTGTCCCAAAGGCATCCCGATACACGTATTAATCCCGAGTTGTCTACAGAGGCAATGCTGAAGGGAACAGTCCTGTTCCGTGCTGTCATCACCATGGAGTAATTCCGCGGACAGAGACTCGGCTAGGGAGAGCGAAAAGATTAGACTGAAGAACTTAGATGAGCCATTGATTAAACGCATGAACAAATCTGCGATTCTATAGCTGCATCCACAAGAGCGTCGCTTCATTATAAATTCGAGATCAACATGGATCAATCGTAGCTGAGATTCCACGCATCTGCCAGGTTTCTTGACCCTGCATACAAGGGCTCGAAGCTGTAGAACGAATCAACGTTATACGCCAATCCCATGGCTCCCGCCAGCGTGCTCTGAAACATAACCGAGGGCTCATCCGCCAGCATCAAACTGCCAGCCACATCGGTTCCCATAGGCCCGAAGAAACCTTCCATTTGGCCCGAGTACGGGGGAGTCAGTGAGGTTGCAGTTCCGACACCCGCGCCAAATCGGCCGCTGAGAAAGTCCGCCTTGGCAGCGAGTCCTCGAGTCACATTGGCGGCGCTCCCGGCGACCGCAAAGTTGTTGCCAAATACCTCGAATACGGTGATGGCATCGCCGATGGCCGCGCGGGCTATTGGAGTGGACGGATGTGAGGGGTAGGCAAGGATGAAACCAACCATGGAGAGAGTCGAGTTCCACTGCCATTGAAAGGCCTCGTACCAGCCTTTGAGGAAGTCGGTGGCGGTTAGAATCTGACGCAGGATGTGTGTGATGGCGATGGCATGGTTGACACACGAATCTGCATGTCCTTCAGCGCGGGGTGTGCTGTTGAAGCTGGTCGGTGAAGTGGATGGGAAGCAGATGAAGGGCCGGTACAGGTTCATAGAGAGGTTGTGGTAGAGAAGCTCCAGGAGTAGCCGTTGGCGCTGCAGCCACGAGGGCGCATACCGTTCCAGGTCGAGCTCAGATCGGTCGGTTGAGAACGGCTCTCCACCATCCTTGCGTTTGGTCTTCATGGCGTCAGGAACGCTACGTAACCATTCCCGGATATTGTCCATCTGCGATGTCAGGAAATCAGCCAAGACTTCCAAAGACGATGAATCTGTGTACAGACTCTTCGCCTCATTGGTAGCAAGAATGTCGGCACGTTTATCGTGAAATCCAAGATGAACTGTCTGGGCCGCTAGCACTAACGTTGTGAGGAGGCGGCTGTAGGTCAACCATGTCACCTTGTTGCCATACACTGCGATGTTCGAGACAGACAGTCGAGCCAGCTCATGATCGTCGGCGGGCAGTTGGCACGTCGCAGTCATGTCAGGCATGGAGCACGGTCGACCCAGTTTCATGCATGTCTTGCTTTCAATTGCATACAGCGTCCACCAGATGCGCTTGCGCAACTCTTGCTGGGGACGTGGCAGGTCCTCACGCGGCTCGAGATGTAGTCCGAGAATATGAGCGGTCCGCACCGCGAGCGCCAGGGTAGTGTGCGCCATGTTCTGAAAGGAAGCGTTGCACAGGTAGACGACCGAAAATATATGACATTGCAGGGTGGTGATGGACGGACTCTCCAGTTCCGAAACGAGGAGAGTTTGCGACCGACGGTAGTACCATCGACCCGCGATACTTGCGTCGTTGATGTCGACATGACCGTCGGGTCGGCCAGAGGTGACGGTGGGGTGACCACTGTTGTCTGGAGTCAAGGCGACGCCATACTGCATACACAGAGCGAGAACTATATCGACTAGAGCTGAAGGCTTTCGTGTTGTGGCCGAATCGGCCCAAAGGGATTTATAATGCTCCCGAAACTCCGCCTCATCCAGGATCTGGTAGGTCGGATGGTATGATTGCCAAAACAGATTTAGGAAATAATCCTCCTCGATGCTATTGAGAAATGTCTCCGAACCGACGGACCCATCTGCGATCGCAGAAGAGGTCGGTAGCTCTTCCGGGGTGGGTCTATTCGAGGTTGGACTGGTAAAGATGCGACTGGCGGAGTTGGGCTGCAGGTTATGACCGTCCTCAGGTTGATTGAAAACGGCGCTGAGGTATGCGCTCATGCGACCGATAAAGTAGAAGGCTGACGATGGCCCATACCACTGAGTTTGTGAGGAGTGTGCGGTGCGTGTATGGATTCCGTCCCATCCTTTCCTTATCCCCGACGGTCGGTCTTCCTTTCGATTCGACCGGTCGTCACCGTTGGAGGCGGTATTAGTATGGGTAGCATTTTCTAGTTGTTCTTCGAGTTCCTGAACGCGTTGTCGTAGCCGCTCAATCTCTCTATTTAGGTTGTCAGTTAGTTCCACGTAGCCAACGCATTGGGAGAGTCGGTACAACCTTACAGCCTGTGGCAGTGTGCGGATTCCAGCCGCACTCTTTTTGGTGCAATTACCGCCCCGATTGCGACAATTCTGGCAGGGCAAGCTGCTGTCGCACTTGATGCGATGCACACGGCACCAGTCGCAAGCCCTCGCGACCTGGTTGCGTTTAGAACGTGGAGGAACGGAGGCGGAGGTGGATGCGGAGGAAGAGGAGGAAGAAGAGGACCTGTTGCTGTGACTTGTTGTATTGTTGTTGTCGATGCGGCGATTGGGGGAAACGGCGACAAAAGTGGAGAACATGATTGTCGTACAAGAATTAGGTAGGTATGGATCCTGATGGATTTGCTGCTGGGCTTCGGATAATGGATCCCATGGGTACAACAAATATCGACCTTTAGGCTCCATCAGTGAAGATGGATAACTGGTGATGAGGCTAGGCATGGATTCGGTGGTTCTTTGTTATTCCCCTGCTTTCTCCGTGTCAGCAAATCAGTGCCTCAACTAAGCACTGGGCATCAGGCCGTCTTGGCCCCAGAGGTCGAATACAGAGTAGTTATGGTTACGTTCATGAGGAAATATATTTCTGGCTACAGTATGGCTAGTAACTGCTGATTGGACGCCTCTAAGGTGATATATGTCCAGTCTCGTCTCTTAACGTCCTCCAATCTTTCTTACTGCCCTCGTGCACAGTATGCTCTGTGGTTCAATATATGTCTTCGCTACCAACAACCCAGTACCCGCTACATGATAACAGTCCAAGAAGAGATACTTGTAAACTTTACTGATGCTACCTTACCGTTTCCTCCCCGAATACTCTTCTAGGCATGTATCGTGCCAGAAAGCGAAATCATGCTGTATTGCAGCTGAAATTGGCCTGTTTGCAGGGAATGGTGACACGTGACTGATCAGGGGGTGTTGGTAGTCAACAATCGCGATAGGAACAAGATCTCTAGGCCAATTCTAACCTACGTGCGGCTATCGGCCGGACAGTAGCAATAATGACTGAGAGTGACTAGGATAGAATTTTTATGATGGATTGTTGAGCGAAATACCGGATGGTAGCTGTTTAGCGAGGCCCCGATTACGCTCTATCCTGGGCCGAAAATATACCGCACGACGCTCCAAAAAATCGAAAGACCGCCAATGCATAGAAGGTTGAAAGTGGTTGAAAGCCCCCCCTGAAGGTTGGATGTAGCCGATCGCGGAGACATCTGCAGGAGCAGCTGTGCGAGCGCGCGCTGGGATGCCAGTCGAGATGGGTGCTCCTGAGCAAGAGTTCTTTCATTCACTGCGACAATATGCTCAAGTAGCTCCACAGCCTGCTTGATCTGCCCATTGGCTTGATATGCACTAGCGAGTGCATGCTGAGATATTAGTCGATCAGGGTGCTCTTCAGCAAGAGTYCTCYCCYSYACYRTGACYACRTGCTYAAGTAGCTCCACTGCCTGCGCAATCTGCCCATTTGCTTGATATGCACTAGCAAGTGCATGCTGAGATGCTAGTTGAGAGGGGTGCTCTTTATCAAGTGTCCTCTCCTGTACCATAACTACATACTCAAATAGCTCCACTGCCTGCTTGATCTGCCCATTAGCTTGATATGCACTAGCAAGTGCATGCTGAGATGCTAGTCGAGATGGGTGCTCTTTAGCAAGGGTTCTACCCTCTACCATGACTATATGCTCAAGTAGCTCTACTGCCTGTGTGATCTGCCCATTGGCTTGATATGCACAAGCGAGCTCATGCTGAGACATTAGTCGAGAGGGGTGCTCTTCAGCCAGAGTTTTCCCCTCTACCATGACCACGTGCTCAAGTAGGTCCACTGCCTGCGCGATCTGACCATTTGCTTGATATGCACGCGCGAGTGCATGCTGAAGCCCCAGTTGGGATGGGTGCTCTTCAGCAAGGGTTCTATCCCGCACTGTGAATGCATGCTCAAGTAGCTCCACTGCCTGCGTGATCTGCCCATTTGCTTGATATGCACCAGCAAGTGCACACTGAGATGCCACTAGAGATGGATGCTCTTTGGCAAGGGTTCTCCCCTCTACCATGACCACATGCTCAAGCAGTTCCACTGCCTGTGTGACCTGCCCATTGGCTTGATATGCACAAGCGAGCTCATGTTGAGAGGTCAGTCGATCAGGGTGCTCTTCAGCAAGAGTCCTCTCCCGCACTGTGACTACATGCTTAAGTAGGTCCACTGCCTGGGTAATCTGCCCATTGGCTTCATATGCATGCGCGAGTGCATGCTGGGATGCCAGTTGGGACGGGTGCTCTTCAGCAAGGGTTCTTTCTTTTACTGTGACCACATGCTCAAGTAGCTCCACTGCCTGCTTGATCTGCCCATTTGCTTGATATGCACGCGCGAGCGCATGCTGAGATGCTAGTCGATCAGGGTGCTCTTCAGCAAGAGTTTTCCCCTCTACCATGACCACGTGCTCAAGTAGGTCCACTGCCTGCGCGACCTGCCCATTTGCTTGATATGCACTGGCGAGCTCATGCTGAGACACCAATCGAGAGGGGTGTGATTCATCAAATTGCCTCTTGTGCCAATCATAATGTTCTTCAAGGTAATTGACGACCTCCATCACTCGGCCATCCACTGAAAGGCACATTGCAAGTTTGAAAATTAGGCCATATCTCATACTTTCGATTTCGCCTTCCGCATTTTTGACCTCTTCTCTTTCTAGAAGGCTTATTACATGCGGTAGGTATCCATTCCATATGTCTCTGTTCGTATGCTCGTCATCGGGAAAAATCTCTTCCAGTCTAGTCAGTGCCGTGATAGTCCATTTTGACAGAATTTCATTCTTTCTCAACCAGTTACGCGTCGCAAGGTGAACAAGTCGGTGGAGGTCGAAAGACTGTGCAACAGGCCGTCTGCTCACGAAGGCATACCCTTTCAACGTCCCGATTGCTTCTATCCATGCTTTACTTGTTGGTGCTGGCGGTAGAATAGACTGCGGGATATCTGCTGGCTCTATAGAAGCCATGAAGCAGAGTATATCAGCAGCAAAGGGTTGAGTACGTTGGATTTGCTCGAAGGAAATAAGCCATGTTGTGGCCACCGGGTTTGTATGGTGATGAGTTCGCCAATCGTCCTCAAAACCTTCGCTTAAAAGATCAATTACCCTGTCCTCCTGTCCCGACAACAGCGATCGATAGTCCGAAATGGAACTCACACAGTTCTCATTCATATAAGAAGCAGCTTGCACAATCGCCAAAGGTAAGTAGACAAGCTCCTTAAGAAGCAGCGCAACTTCCTCTTTTTTGTGTAGAAGAGACTTATCGCCCAAGCGTTCAGAGAGAAGCTTTGTCGCTTGTTCTTCGTCCATTGCTGGAATTTCAATCACATTTTGCTTTGCAAGCTTTGCGGCAATTTTTTTAAAACGTGTAGTGAAAAGCACACTCCCTGTTTTACTCCATGGAATATATTCGCTCAGCCCGCATGGCTCAGCGTTGGCTTCAGTCTGGCCGAACCACATGTTTATGTCATCCGCGTTGTCAAATATGAGCAACCATTGGCCAGCGTTACTGTCGCATAGGTAGTCTTTTAAGAGTTTTTTGGCATCAGCTTGCTCCTCCTCGAGTCCTGGCAATGCTAGCTGTTCGGCAATCTTCAAATATGTTTGTTCGAGAGCTTCCAAGTTTGTGGCTGGGATCCAAAAAATTGAGCATTCTGGTCGCGTCTCCTGGATTCGATACGCAATTTCGAGTGCAAGCTGTGTTTTGCCAACACCACCAAGGCCGGTGACTGCAACCTTGTGTTGGCGGCCAGGTGGGAAAAGCAGCTCTTCAAGCTTATCAAGCTGTTCATCCCTGCCAACGAAACCTTGATTCCTCGGGAAGGGAATATTTCTAAAAACACCCCCGCTATCTGCCCAATTATCAGCGGGATCCTTGTTCAGGGAAAGCTCCTTACTGGTTTTTAGCATTATCAAGTATTCATATTCCTGAATTGGGTGAGCTCAGGCATACACAGGGTATAGTTTCTTTTCCTTACGCGAACGACCTTGTCGAACCGGACCCCGGTGGCATCTTGTCAACCATTAGCTCAAAGCCAATCAGTCCCTAAATATCTAAGCAAAGTTTTCAATGCACACACATTGCTTCTGCCTCAAATTTTGTACGCAGTCTCGCACCCGGAATTTTTGATTCTGGTGGGCTATGTACTCATGTGTTGCTGCCTCGATCAGGCCTTGCTCCTTATATTCAGTGAGGCCAACATTCTGCAGTCCTTGCTCCACATTGAAGCGGAAGAAACGCTTTTGGTTGAAATGCCCAGCCCATCTGGCAATGAATTTCCGCTCGGTTTCTTCTGTCTCTGTGGAAATTGCCACGAGCGTTTTAGAGAAAAATTTGAAAAGATTGTCTTCAATCGCTCGTTTGCCGGGATTGCCTGTTCCAATCGAGATAAAGCACTTGACGAGGGGTTTCAAATCTCCTGTGTCTGGACACCAGATATTTGAAGCCTCCCCCTCCACTTCATCCACTGGATTGTTCGCACCCAACGCACCATCCACAAAACAGCGTGGTCCGATTAGCACGGGAGTAAAAAACCCAGTCGCGGCTGATGTTGCAAGGGCAGCCTCGCAGATGGTCGCCGGTATGTCAGGTTCCTCAGCTAAACTATAACTTCGTAGTCGCGTCACCCCAGATGTTTCTTTGGCTGTGGCACATACGAACCTTCCCTAATATCAGCTACTAAACCAGCCGTCATTCACGCCTTGTCCACTTACACTTTGGTTCCGCGCTCGCGCCCATCATTGAAGGGTTCTGTCCCATTAACACCGTGACGAGCGGCAACATCCATGATCGCGTCCCTGAGCTTTCGAGAGTCGAATCGGGACTTAATCTTTCCTGTACCGCCAACAGGCAGCAAATTCAGTTTTCCCTCAAATATAACCCTGATGAGTTCAATGTATGCTGAAATGCATTCGTCCACGTCCATTTCAAGACGGCCCAGCATAATGGCGATAAGCCTGCTAGTATTAGCCATGGTGTAAAAAGAAGAACTGCTGCACGAACCCGCCTGTGCTTGTCCCACCAATAAGATCGAAGACTTCGCACGGCTTCACAGAAGGAAGCTTAGCATCACGGCGATCACGATTTAATCTGTCCATGATCGTCTTCAAGATGAAGAGCGTTGACAAGCCCCGTACGCCACCCCCGTCCAGCGACAACAGGCAAAGCCCTGTGGTGTCGACGGGGTTTGGCTCACCACTAGTCTTTGACGTTTGAGCTTGCATTTTCCCGGATATGATTATTTGATACGAAGAGGATAATTGAGAATGATGTGGAATAAAGACAGACGTCTTTAGAAACCGATATCTTAAGTGGTATTCGCACTGAGCTGGGATCAAACCAAGCTGAGACCTGGCGTAAGCAGGAGATATACTGATTGCGAAGCGCCGGGCAGCCTAATAGAGGATGCTAAATAAGGACTGCAACTCTAAGTGACCAATCAAAATACTTAGCGCTGTGATTCTATCTCCTGCATAATAGGCACAAGCGCCCCAGTTAGATGTACCACCACCACCTTTCCGCCCCTCCACATGCGACCAATCACACTCCCACTTCATGCAGCTATAGAAAGCCTCTCCTATCCTTAACTAGAATGCTACCCCACAAAGCATGTTGAGGGAAGCTCGCTTTGCTTTTATAACCGGCGAGAATTTCATGGGATTTGGGCCAGCAAATATTCTTATCTTGCTTGGTCAACGTGGCTAACCCTCCAACCCTGTTATCCCCAAGCCACTGCATTATAACAACATTGGCCTACCGGAGCGGATCCATTAGAGCCCGTTCCCAGCGTCCAAGACCCTTGTGTGCTATTCAAACTGAGTCTATCCCTGCTCCATCAGCCATGATATTAGCTCAGCGTCCGTAAGGAATCATGGTACGTCCGAAAGTATGGATAGCATAAGAGAAGCAACTCAATGACTCAAGTCACGCTGGAGCCTTGCCGAGGCAGGTGTAATTAACATATGTTACACAGCCAATGAATCTTCAAGAACTATTCTCCTAAAGTGGGATTGAAATGATTGGTTGACCGCCAAGGAATGGCCATGACCCACCTGGCTATTTTTGGAAAGGCTAATGGAAATGCAAGAAGAATGAGTGGTCTTTAGAAGGACATTGGCTACAGTGCGTCAGTTTCGACGCGCTATACTTTTCGCTTTTTCTCGCTTTTTCCTCTTGCCGCCGTTCGTGGCTTTCACACTGCCATAAATTTGACAATACTGAAGAATGACGAAGCCCAACTGATACTGTATACCTACTGTAGCTCAACCATAAATTGCGCCCGGTTCACGCCATGGTGGCAGTTGCGGTACCTCAAGTGGTCAAAGGCCGAGCGCAACGGATGGCTCGCCGCGACGATTCGCCCTAAATAACTTAGTGCCGCAACGGATGAACAAGAATCATCCGAAGGCAACAAATCGGGATTGCAACAGATGTCGATTGGACACAAGTTCCGCTCGGATTCGACACCGCGGCCATGTGGACCTCCTAAGACTGAAGCGTAACCAGGGACCCAGATGTGGACACAAACATCAACCCAAACTCAGGCTAAATCATCTTCGAAATATGAGTACAATCACGTTGACGAACACCAGCATGGAAATGGCAACATGTGGATGAACAATGGTGGTGATCAACGACATTGAAGACCGCCATGGACACCCAGAGGCTGACGGCTCTCCAAGCCGATCGCAAGGCCAACACAACCCAGGCAGACATCAAGCAGTCCATGGACCAACTGATCTAGTCCCTAGTCCGTGAACGGCCAGACTGCAACCGACTTTCTCCGCCCCTGATTGGTTAGTGGGGTTTTGTTAAATGGGTTGGTTTCCCTTCACCGCCTACCAGCGTTCTGCCTTCCTGCTTTCCCATCCATGCTCCCTCCGCCGCTACTAGCTTAGTCTGTGCCTGGTATCATGTCAGATTCATTAGATCAAAAGAGATGATTCTTTTTTTGGTGTGTGTCATCATCTTGTGTTCATCGTTCTCAGACAGCGGCCCTGTATCTAAAGTGGACTTATGCTAGGCCGATCCAAGCGCTGACTAATCTAACATATGTCTCTCGATGTGACAACTACTTCGGCTTCTATCCGAAGCTGGAACTAAGCGAAGTAAACAAATATCGACATGGATAACTGGTGATGAGGCTAGACATGGATTCGATGGTTCTTTGTTCTTCCCCTGCTTTCTCTGTGTCAGCAAATAGTGCCTCAACTATGCACTGGGCATCAGGCCGTCTTGGCCCCAGATGTCAAATACAGAGTAGTTATGGTAACGTTCATAAGTAAATATATTTCTGGCTACAGTATGGCTAGTAACTGCTGGTGGAATGCCTCTAAGGTGATATATGTCCAGTCTAGGCTCTGACGTGCTCTAGTCTTTCTGATACTGGCCTCGTGCACACCGCTCCGCGGTTCAATATATATCTTGGCTACCGACAACCCATGAAGGTTTGGAAATAGGAAATAGTACCCGCTTCATGATAACAGTCCAAGAAGAGATACTTGTAAACCTGTACTGATGCTACCTTACCGTTTCCTCCCTGAATACTCTTCAAGGCATGTATCGTGCCAGAAAGCGAAATCATGCTGTATTTCAGCTGCAATTGGCCTGTTTGCAGGGAACGGTAACACGTGACTGATCAGGGGTGTTGGTAGTCAACAATCACGATAGGCCGCTTCTGACCTATGTGCGGCTACTCTGCCTAGGCAGAAATCCATCCGGATGGAGGCCTACAAGGTGCCAAGTGTTGCTACGGCAAGGCTTTGCTCGATCCAGTCTAAACAACAAGCATTCTGGGCTTTGCCCCTTTGTGAAGACTGACTTCAGAGTCAATCCATGGCTCACCGAGCATTTAAAGTCCGGTGCGCCCTGACTTGGATTTAGTCACTTGGTCATCCAACATGGCTTCTATCAATGTTCTTCCAAGTGAGCTCCTCGCTCGCATCATCTCGTTCCTTGACCGGTCGTCCCTGAAGGCAATCCGGGAAACGAGTCGCCTTCTCTCACAGTTTGCTACTCCACGGCTATTCGACACTCTGCGTCTGTTTCCGGACGAAGAGAGTTATGAGGCGATCGATCGCATTACAAGCCATGCAACACTGAAGAAAATGGTCAAGAAGGTCTATGTCAATACGTGCGAAGATGACTATGTCTGTCCATATCGCTCGCGGATCGATGAGTGCAGCATGCTAATAGGCCTCAGGACGAGTATGACGAGGAGGAAGTCGAATTGACAAAGGATTTCAAGGACAGAATCGCGAAATTCGAAGACTGTCCAAATGTCCAAAGCGCCGTGTTGCGGTTTGACAAGCATTGTAGTACCGGCCGCGAAAGTTGGATGACGGAGCATCCAGAGACCATCGCCTTTCGCACAAAAACTCTTCGTGTTTTCTTTAAATGGCTGGCCTCGTTCGAAGTGCCTCTGCGTGAACTCGGCATTCGTAACTTGCAAGATGTCAATGTTGGTGACGATCGAATATCCTCCAATATCGAGAAAGTGCTGCAGAATTTACACACACTCCGATTAAGCATCGTGACGGAGCACAACGAAGCTGCACCGGAGGATGACCTTGACTTCCCTGAGCCGCATGACTTCTTCGCGCAGCTTCCATCCGTGTGGTTGAAACCATCCGCGTCGTCTCTAGAGCATCTAACGCTCTCCTGCGACAACTACTTCGGCTTCTATCCGAAGCTGGAACTCAGCGAGGTACATTTCCCGCACCTCAAATCCCTCGCCTTTGGTAATTATTGCTTTGTGCGGGACTCTCAGCTGGAATGGATCCTTTCTCATGCAGCTACTCTGACCGCGCTATCCTTCGACGACTGCGCGATCTTATTCGATGTGTGCCTTGCTGAAGAGCATCTGGCCGACAGGGGTCCCTTCAAGAAGAGCGAGATGGAAACCCGTCGAGAGATGGATGCCCAGGTGCGGCTAAAGTACTACCTCTCCTACGATAAGCGGTGGCATGATTACTTTGACTCCTTCCGAACAAAGCTACCTCAGTTGAGGCGGTTCCTTATCGGAAGCGGTGACTGGGGTGATGGCGTCCCGTTCGAAAAGGAGGATGAAGCCAAGATCTGCTTGCGGGAAAATAGGTACATGGTCTGCTATGATGGGTACGGACCTAGTCCGTATCTCGAACCAGGCTATGGTCCTCACGAGTGGGAAAGGGACGCACCCCAGTGCGATGACAAAGACAGGGAATCCTTACGCTTGCTCTTTGAAAAGACGGGGCAGCGAGTCGTCAAGATTCCATTCTTGAGTTCATTCCAAGATTTGATAAGCGAGGACTAAGATTCCAAGCCAGATGGGAGACCGATGTTCGCTCTTCGCCGAATCGACCTGATATATGATATACTTTATGTGAATATTCAATGGACCCTGCTGGGGACTGCTCCTATTACCATATACTTTTTCCATACTCAAGCCTCAAACGCTGGTCATTACTGGAACACTATTACTCGCTCCGTAGAACTGCTATTCGTACAGCAGGACGAGCAGCACGCCATAGGAAGACGGAACAGCGTGTCAGTCAGCAATAATCAATCAACAAGGTCTTGAGATCGCCAATGGTGGGGAAATTTGAGGAAGAGAGAGCCCCGAAAATCCAAACGGAATTTAGCTGTTAATTTCTCCGCCAAGACAAGTCACAGAAGTGAATCAATTACTATCGAAGAGAAAGCTGTCTCATCCGACAGTGCGGTCAGCTCAATTGCCGTTCCCGCCGAGATCAAGGTCATCGCCCGGTGGACAATTGGACTCTCCGTGCCTGCAGCGACGGACCCGAGGGTCGGTGAAGTGAGGGTAGCAGCAAGACTACCGTCGGTGCTATTCATGACTGTTTGAGACGAACTATGACCTGATGAATATACATGGCAAGGATTATGTACACAGTGGAGGTTGTTGATAACAAAAATGGATTACGCAAATTGAGAGCTGATGATAAATGAACTGCTGGTTTTCTAAGGCTTGCACAAGTTAATATAAGGAGTAGGGCTTTAGATTTGACAATGAGACTTGGGATTCGCCGAAAAGGGTAATTTTAGGTGTCTCCGCTTCTCCGGACGGAGTGCCTAGTCACCCAGCCAATCACCGCCTGTCTTTCTGTCTCTGACAGTTCCCGGTCTAGACTCAAAAAGACAAAAAGATTCAAAAGGAGGGGCAAAAGAAAGGGAAAAAAAAAAAACTTCGACCTTCTAACCTCCTTCAAAAAAACAAAAGCAAAAAAAAGAGGATCACACTCTACAGCCACATTTCTTGCCAGCCACCATGGGTAACGTAAGGGCTCCGTATATATCTATCCTTTTCTCTGGCTTACCACAGGTTAACAGGGAGCCAAAGCCGCATCTAAGCGTGATCGCAAGGCCAGTAACGTCAAAGTGACCGCAACGTCGCAGCTGAAAGCGGTATGTTCCTACTGAATATCTCTAATGGTTTTTGTTCCAATGTCACAACGCTCACGAAAACAGAACGAAGCTGCCAAGGATATCATCTGCACCACCTGCAGGCAGACCTTCCTCAAGACTACTCGTGCTCCGGCTCTGACTGAGCATGCCTCGAATAAGCACAACAAGACGCTCCAGGACTGTTTCCCTGGCTTTGTAGAAGCCCCTAAGAAATGAGCAGGAGTCGTTGCGCTTTGGTTGATGACTCTCGCACTCATGGGGAAGATGCGCATCCCATGAGTCGGAGAATTTACCTTTTCTTTTCTGTTTGCAAGAGGAAGTGATAGCGATGATGTAGCATGAATAGACAATATTGCATTAAATTAGAGATGTGATCTGTAACGTCGGTGGGCAGGCGGAGCCATGAAGTACTTAAGCAGGAGGCCTTGACGAGGCTTCGAAGATATGTGAAGAACATCTGACTAACAACAGAAAGGAAACCCTGCAGCCAACAGGTAAACACTGATACCGACCAGTTCGAAAGGGATAGGGAAGTACTGGTCGAGTAGCAAGATAATTTGCGGGAAATAAGTGGCTTATACGAGATATTTAGGCAGACCAATCACCAGCCACAGCAAGTTCATGCGTCAAATCAGGGCTTCCTGTCATGTCATCGTCACCCACGTTTCCAGATCCCAAAGCTTAGAATACCACCAGAATTTCCATAAGCTATCAAAAGGTGCTAGCGGACCGAACCATATATGGGCTGGAGCTTTGACAGCCGGCCACTCAGAGTTAGCGACGAAACCACGCGAAAAATATTCGGCTGCCTTTTTCATCAAGCTGGCCGTTGTAGGCAACCATAAATCTAGGCCATCTAAGCTGTAGAAATAATTAGTTACTACTCATGCTCAATGTTCAATGTTCAATGTTCAGAATACAGTCTGTATAATTGTAGACCTGTTGAAATTTTGTCTCAGCGCTTTGGGCTGTGCCCTTCTTTCAATGTCCTTACAGCTGGCGACGGCGGTTTGGTTAACCGTCTTCTCAGTTGTGAGTAGCAGACAGGTGCTTGAAGATAGCGTCTCAGCTCTGGAAAGTAAAACGACCTCTGGAAGCTGCGGCCCCTCTGCTGGCAATGCAGTCTGTGCCTCGGGGCTCTGCTGCGGGCCAAATGTATGTCTTCGACGCTCTGGATACCTTTTCTCTAAAAAGGATAATAGTACTGACCATGATTGACTGACAAGGGAATTTGTGGTATAGGAACCTACTACTGCAACGCGCCATCCTGTCTCTTTCAGTATGGTCCGGCTTGTGATGCCAACCAGACCCCGTCAGGCTTGAATACCTCATCGGTCTCGCGACCAAAGATCGGCGACGTTCCATACGGAGTCAGCATTCGAGCCTGCAATGTACCCGGCAAGGTTGCTCTCACATTTGACGACGGGCCGTACATCTACACCTCGGATCTACTAGACATACTAAAAGCTCGAGGCGTCAAGGCGACCTTCTTCCTTGTCGGCAACAACGGCGGCAAGGGCCAGATCAACGATCCCCGGACCGGATATCCCTCGCTCATCCGACGAATGTACAACGAGGGTCATCAGATTGGCAGCCATACATGGAGCCATCAAGACCTATCGACCCTTTCCCAACGCCAACGATACGATCAAATCATCAAGAATGAGATAGCCCTCAGTGATATCCTAGGGTTCTTTCCGACGTACCTACGACCGCCATACATGTCCTGTAACACAGAGTGCCTGACAGACCTACGCGCCCTTGGGTATCACGTAGCCAATTATGATATCGACACGCTGGACTGGCAGGAGAAGTACCCCAACAGCCAGAATATCTTCAAGTCTGCGCTACAGTCCGGAAACCCAAAGACGAATAGCTTGATCTCCTTAGCGCATGATATTCACAGCCATACAGTCCACGATTTCGTCCCTTTCATGATTGATTATCTGAAAGAGCGAGGTTATACGACGGCACTCTACGGAGAATGTCTGAATGATCCTCCATCGAATTGGTATCGTTACCCTTCTGGATCACCATCAACTACAAAAACTACCACATCCATCAGTGGGTCGTCTAGCAGGACTCACAGCAGCACCAGTCAAACGGCTATGCCCACAGTTGTGGAAGGAGGAGAACGCGCGTTTGGAAGCCGTACAGGTAATGGAACAATGACCAGCAAAGGCATTGAAGGCACTGCTGTCGCTATGGCTTCTGATCCAACCAAGTCAGAAGGGTTCAAACGATATGGAATGACAGCACTTGGACTATGGGTGGTTGTAGGGGTTCGTTTCATGTGGATTATGGGCTCTTACCCATAGATGTATTCGTGTACATTTTCATTTGGTCTCTGTACTTATAGAGGATGGCGCTGGATTACCGGACAGCCGCATATATTATTTACTTCTCATTCAATGTCAATAACACAGTAGATGGATCTGCGTGGCAAAAGGGACACATCTGCAACTATGACAGGTCACCTTCACTTCGCGCTACGGGAATGAAAGACTGAAACAGAAATGGAATATTTGATTGGGAGTTTCAATGTCCAAAACAAAGATGCGCGGCATCCAGCGGATAGAGTCCAACATGAACTGAGTCTACTTGGTCCATACCCATATCCACTCCAGGAATCTCTTGCCGTTCTCCACGGTTAAGCCAGGGTGGGGGAACTCCAGCCTGCCCTTTCTCCTGTTACTCGAGACTTGGACACAATTCCGAAGATCTTTGGATCTCTCCGGTCCCCATTGCGAGAAATTGAATCCATGTCTCCGGATCTTGTAGGAGACAATAAGCAAGACAAAAACCGGGATCTGTCAAAAACTCAATTAGCCAGTGTACACTGGTGATGACCGCGAAAATATTTGCCAGAGTCTAAGGAAAGACGTACACTGATGTAGGAGGCAATGAAGGTCCGGACATCGAATGGCTTTGTGAGGAATGCATTGACCCCGTTGAATATTAGCAAGATGATACAAGCCACCATGCCGAAGCCCGCCTTTAGCCATTGTGCATGGGATTTGTATGGGTATCGAGGATGGTTTCGATCATAAATCCCGGACTGGGTTTGCGGATTGTTGCCGTATTTCTGGGCTTCGTCCAGCCTGGAATAGGAACGTCAGTGCTGCGGCCACATTCGTTGAGAATCGGGTAGATAAATACGTCTGGTAGAAGCATAGATAGGTCGCACAGATAGTCGCATAAACAATCAGAAAAGAGACCGTGCAATTGGACGATAGCTCGGCCAGTCTCTGGCTCGGTATGTTAGCTGCAATCCAAATCTGTTCTATTTTGACGCGAGCCACTCACCGCACCAGGTGCTCCAGTAGGCCCCAGATATGCCACCAGCATTACCGCAGCAGACACAAGGACGGCTCGCATCGGGACCCCTGCACGACATTGCCGGAGCCTCCGTGTGATGAACTCCGGTCCCGTTTGGTCTCGAAGGGCGAGCGTGTGAAGGACTCGAGATGCCACATAGAGATTGTCCGACGCACAGGTGGCCGCAGAGAAGAGGAACATTGCGTTGAAAAAATGGCCGAGGGCGGGCAGACCGGCCTCGACGACCGCAATAATGAAGATCGAGTGGGAGCCGCTAGACTGCCCAGCGCCGTTGATGAATGGGTGGTCGGTAGGCACAAGGAACGACGCTGTCAGGATTGACAGCGCGTACAGGGTAATTACGCGCAGCGAGATCTTCCGCGACGCCATCTTCATGGCCTCCGAGTCGGCAAGGGCTTTGCTCTCGGCCGCAGTGACGGTGACCATATCCATGCCCGTATATGAGAAGAAGGCCCGTATGCACGCCGTCCTATGTAAAGACATAGTGAGTCGATTATTCTTCCGGGTATAGATACTGATTATCGACTATAGTACTTACCAGACACCAACAAATCGTCCGGTCCCGCCACTGATTGTTTGGTCGAGGTTCCCATACTCATCCTTCACATGGTAGTCCGAGTTGAAGAAAGAGTACGGGGAATTCCAATCTAGAATCAAGCCTATTAGCCTCTTTTCCCTCCGCTTGAGGGGCATTCTTACATTTTGTCCCAAGGGGTTGACTGTAGTATGCGTTCGATCGGGCTGTATTATTCGTGTCTGTCAGCGACAAGGCGGCAATCATAGCTCAAAGGCAGCACTCACTTTTCATGACGTTCAAAATGAGCATCATGACAATCATCATCGAGATGAACGTAATCTTGATACATCCGACAATGTATTCGAGCTCGCCAAAGTACTAACCTACGGCGTTAGGACAGAACCACAATGTATGGCGTTACAACTCACCCTAACAGGAATCATATTTACAATGACAACAACCACCAGAAAGACGGAAATCCAGAGTGCAGGACTGGTGTCCATACCGGTGGCCCAGTTCAGGAATGTGCGGCCATCGTCGTACTGAAACCGAATGGAGGCTGCTACGGTGACGATTTGATCTGCTCCCATCACGACATAGGAGAACCTTGGGACAGTTAGAAAGGAGTCACTGCATAATCTATGAGGGTCATCACCAGTATATCCAGCCGACAGCAAGACCGACACCCCGATCCAGAAACCGCCGCGGAAATTCCATCATCGGGGCATTTACCGGCATCAGAGCCGTCATCTCGCCCAGGGAGGAGATCACCGACGAAATCACAGTGCCCATAATCACATAGGCGACCACTGCGCCTCCGGGACCAGCAGCAGCAAGGCATTTTCCGCTGGTTAGGAAGAGTCCTAGAGGGATATGATTATTCGATTGACTCAAAGTGTAGGAGGCGGGCGAGAAATACCATTGCCAATGGTTCTACAGCAGTAATAATGACTCTGTCAACAATGGACATCCTTGCAAATTATCGAGTATAGGCAACATACCCAGTAAATGCAATCATCTAGTCCCACAGAGACATGCAAGGTTAGCCTGTGTTGAGCGACTCTGCATTTGATCGCAGTTGACGTACATTGATCTGCCTCTCATTCAAGACTCGCCTACACACTATCATAAGTCAAGGGTCTTTCTCAGGCTGGCCATGGAATGGAGTCTCACCAAAGATTGTGACCTTTCTGGTCGCGGACATCTTCCTCTTGTGATCCATCACCCGCAGTGTCAGTGTAATGAAGATCAAACCCAGGACTCTGTATGGTAGAGCCCTCGTCCTTCATGTCGTGCTCGGTGTGCTGCCAATCAGCCGCCATTTTCGAGGGTAAAACAGCGATCGAGTGGGAGAATTGATATATGTTTCTGTACCCGTCCTTGCAGCAGAAGAAAGGGCGGGATGAGGCAGGAAGGAAATACTTCAGGGCTGCTTGGGTTGTCTCATGTGCATCCGATCTGCTCAGCCTACTCAGGATAAAGATAGACTGCGATACCACCCACAAGCAGCAGGAATACGAGCTCGACAACTCAGCTTGTGATAAGCACCAATAAACGTGGGGAAGTTAGATTAACACTGCATGAGACGTCCAATCATGTTAGACGCGGGATCTTTCTAACGCAAGGTTAGCATGTTTAGCAGGCCGGGGATGGCCAACCACCGCGTCTGTATGGATGATAAGGATCCTGGACGTGCTCCTGTCTGTCCCACCAACCAGCTCGGCGTCACATTCCAGTTCACTGCCCAGACTGCGATTAAGCCTCATGCGGGGTTCACGAGGCATCGACCATCGAGGATGAAGGAAAATGGATTGTCTGGTCTGGTCCAAGCGATCCGTGCCATAAGTTGAATAGTTCCCCACAAGAATCCACACTGAGGCTTAATTGTGATCTCCTCCAAGGCCGCAAAAGTACTCCCCTCGTGTTTATTGATCTTCAAAAGGAAATGGCGACGGCTTCGCCCTCGCCGGTATTTTCGAGTCTAACCGGAATTTGGAGTCTGTTGGCTCTCCGCAGCGACATCGACGATATCATCCTCGAGCTCCTAGGCCGCTTCAGCCTGGAGAAGATCTACGCAGACGCAGACAAAGAGGCCTATTCGGACCTGATTTTAAACTTACTAGTTCATCTCAGAGTGATATTCTTCGTCCAGCGCCTCACGCTTCCTCCGGTCGGCAGCACCCCGGTAGATTGGTCGCTCGGCTTTCTGGTGAGCTGGGAGGTGACGGTGAGGACGGTAGAATTCATCCTCCAGATCGTCTTGGAAGCGCGCGAAGTCCTCTGGGATGCCCCATTGCGCGATGAATATGTCTCGCGGCTGGTACTATCGACCGTCCAGATTCTTTTGCTGCACCCGAAGCCCCCGCCCAACTCTCGGCTCAGAGATCGTCGAGACCGATTTGCGCGAGTCCACCGGGCGCTTGAAAGAGTGTGCGACAATTATCCGGATACTAATTCATCTTTTCTCGCTGTCTGTCGGGCAATCGCAGACGCTCTTCGCGCCGAACCGGATGCTCTGTCGCTTCCCCCGCGGTTGAAACAGGAATTACCATCCTTGACGGGAGATCTAGTAAGTCATGATCTACCTGGGGCGCTAGGGTATATCAGCTTTGTAACAGGCATGCTGATATAATTGTTGGTGAACGACTAGTATCCTCTGCCCGACTGCCTCTCGTCGTCCTCCGTTGCGACCATCGTCCCTCAGCACGGTTCGTCACAGAGCTGGTTATCACAACTTCTGGGTCTATACGATGTGTCGCAATTTGTCGTGGGAGCGAATATTCAGTTTGCAGCGAATACCAGGAAATTCTGTGATCCGGAACTGGAACGAGCATCGAAGAGCAGTCGCGATGCCGTCCTGCATGCTCTCAATCGCATCCGCTTGCCTCCCTACGTCTCTGCGGGCCATCTCATCCCGATGATTAGTGAGGATTTTCGAATAATCCTCCCTGATACCCCTAGCCTCGTGCAGCACCGGCACGATGGAAACATGTTTGATGCGCTGGAGGCGTTGCGAGAGCGACTGGGTCATCGACTGATGATTCACCGCGTCAGTGATGGGGCCATGATGCACAGTGTGTCCCAGATAACCAAGTATATTGAGCTCCTGGACGACCCCAGCGACCAGTTGAGGTCCGCCAGCCCGGCGCTGTACGTCGTTAACTGCCAGGAGTGCCATTTACTAGGCTCTTCACAGATCCGAGACATCGCTCACCTAACCCTTCTTGTATGTAACCTTTGTTCTTGCAAAGCTCGACCTAGGCTAAAACCGATCCTAAATAGGATAATGCCAGCGGCGCGTCAGGAGTTGCCCTCCCCACGGCGTCCAAGTGTGCGTTTTGTGGCTCGACAGTCACCATGGTACGTGAAGTATCGCTAGCGAGGTATACTTGGGAGCATCTCAAGCCGCTCAGCCCAAACGTAGAGGCCATCAATGCGGAAAGGCATCTTCCCTCGCAGTTC